CTCTGCTTGTATCTTTACACTTTTTTGCAACATAAACTTCCTTTAAAATAATTGTGAAAAACTTTTAAAAACTATAATAGACTAAATATGCACAACAGTCTGTCCAGGTGAGTGTCTTCAGCAGTAAATACATGGGGAACGTTGACAAATTTTACTGCAAGGAAAATAATTCAACCATCATGATGAACTAAGTTAAAAAGTTAAAGTTAATGAGTTAAAAAGGACCTTATTAAATAAAAAGTTTACAGTTTTATTGAGATGATTGTTGGTGATTGTGTGGGTTTTGGCCATATTTGGTAGCAAGTAAAATTAAGACCTGTTTTAAAAAAAGATTTAACACCAACAACATAATATTTCAGTAAATGTAAGACCTATTTGAAAACCTAAAATGCAGTTTTTGAGATTTAAGACTTCTTAAAATCCTGCAGAAACTTTTCTTCAACATCTTTTAAGTTTGCTTGTGTTTTAATTAATTTATTAGCCCTTAAAAACCAAATAAAAGCAAATTTCGAAACTGAAAAATCATGTCAACGACTGAATTCTGCAAAAAAATAAATAAAAGTATCTACAATGGAGTGAGAGGGACAGCAGCACACCCTTCATTACAGCTGACATCACAGAGGGAGGGAGATTCTGGGTGCTGCCAGAGATGAAAGTTTGGTATAAATAGCCGAATGCACTGCTGTGAACAGGACTTCCACGCGCCGACTGGAAACTTACAAAACACAACGACTGGCCGGGAGAAGTGCCCGACCCCTGACTTGTGGAGCTCCAGCCTGCCGGTGGGTAGAGCCGCTCGCTCTCTGTGGCCCTCTGCTGCTTCACTATACACTGTGCGGGACCATCACACACTGCTGGGACGGGGGGAGGAGGACGTCTCTAGATGCTACTCTGCATGAGCTTCATTGTGTTCCTCAGCCAAGTTTAGCAAGTTAAATGGGGAGGTTTCCCGAGTAAACACACGTGTGCCTTATCCTACCTAACGGAGTTTTGTAGCATGTTCAGATATGTGGAGATCACTGGTGTTAAATATCTGCATGACTTTCAGTGTTTAATAGGCAAGAGATGTGATTGCTCTGGGTTGTTCTTCAGCGCTCATGTTTCGTCATCTCTCTCTTCACAGGCTTAGCTTCAGAAAATGGACCTCAGAGTAACAAGCATTCTTCTTCTGGTTGTGGTGCTGGCCGAGGCGACCCCTGACAGATACTATCATGTGAAGAAACAGCCGTATCCTACTAAATCCCACAGTGAGTTTCATTTTAGATGTGTGTGTGTGTTTGTCTGTGTGAAGAGTTTTAGATGCAAAAGCCATTTGAAATGTTTCTCAGCCTTCATGTATTTCACTTTAAATGCAATGAAATGAGTCTATTCTTTGCCATAAAGCCGCCATTTCTCAACCTACACACTGGGAAAATGATATAAAAAATGTTTACATGTACAATCTTGATATCCAGATTGATTGATGCTCTTCAACACCCTTTCAGTTTCATTAGGTAAATGCTTCTGTTGAGCCACAATTTGGACTTAATTTCTAATATTCATTCTCATTTTTGATTAATCATTTCATTTCACTTGCAAGTTATTTCAGTGAGCACTGTAGTTTTTCTTTCTTCAGTGGGAGAACAGTTTGTCCTCGTCTGTCTGTATGTATATGAGTATGCAGTCAACATGCATCACGTAGGAATAATCCCCAGAATACCTCACATCTAATCTTATACAATTTACTACTCAGAGAAAACGTGAAATCTTCAAAACAGACGTGACCACATTATACAACCCGCTAGCCCAAAATGAGCTGTGGTGTTAAACTAGCACTGGTTTCCAGACAGGCACTCTTTCAGACTGAAATAAAAGATGTGCCTATTGTTTTCCAGATAGTCAGACGATCCAGTCTAACTGTGACTCTCTGACCATGACTAAGTAAACGGCATACTGTGTGCTGAAATATACTAGTGCAAAGTAGCCAACATCTGAAATGGATTTGAAAGGTTTTCCAAACCTGTCCTAAGACGAGAATGGGTGTTCAATAGTTTTAGGACAACTCTGAGCAAATGTTTTTATCTGCTTCAAATGTTGACTACTGTGGGCAGCTGCTGACCGCTGATCAGCTGAGGAACTATCATGTACTGTCACTGTTTTTACATCACCTAATTGGGCTGCTACCCTTAAACACCCTAAAAAAATCCCTCAATTTAAAAAGCCGATTTGGTTGATTTGAACCTTTTTGCTTCCAAATTGGTGTTCAGATCTCACTTGGTCAGTGAGGAACATGGAGGAAAACATCAAATCTCCATATACAGACACATTTAACCATTAGCAAACGTAATGTATCTGTATTTACTGCACATGTGGCTGACTCTATTTACACTGCACTCTTATGTGTGGCTTTATCTGAATTATCTTTCTTTTATCTTTGTAGCTGTTGCTGGTGAACCTGGTATTCCGGGTTCTCCAGGCTCACCTGGACCCCCTGGCCCACCAGGCATGCCTGGAAGTCCTGGAAAGAACGGTGTTGGACATATGGGCCCAGCGGGTCCACCTGGACCACCAGGTCCAGCAGGCTACTCCTCACCTGGTAAACCTGGAACCCCAGGCGCACCTGGAAAATCAGGCGCACCTGGATATCCAGGTGAAAAGGGACAACCAGGCCCAGCTGGACCTCAAGGTGCGAGAGGAGCACCAGGATCACCTGGAAGCCCTGGACCTGCTGGCCTTTCATCTCCTGGGAAGCCTGGACCACATGGGATGCCTGGAGCAATGGGCCCACGTGGAGAACCTGGCCTAAAGGGTCATCCTGGAATTCCTGGATTGCCAGGCCAGAAGGGAGAACCTGGGCATGGTTATGCAGGAAAACCTGGCGGTCCTGGCCCAATGGGCCCTCAAGGTCCTTCAGGTCAGCCTGGCCAGCCTGGAGTTGGAAAACCTGGACCATCTGGATTTCCTGGAGAGCCTGGAAAGTCTGGAATGCCAGGTAGAGATGGATCACCAGGTCCAATGGGTATGCCAGGCCCAAAAGGTCACACAGGGGCACCTGGAATAGGAGCACCAGGAAAACCCGGCCAGAATGGAGCTCCAGGTATGCCTGGCCAAATCGGACAAAAAGGACCTCAAGGACCCTCAGGACAGCCAGGTGCTCCAGGTCTGCCTGGTGTTGGCAAACCAGGATCACCTGGAATGCCAGGAGACCGGGGAGTGCCAGGAACCTCAGGTACAACAGGTCAAAAAGGAGAACCAGGGCCAACAGGCCACACAGGTATGCCAGGTGCTATTGGCCCAATAGGTCCACCTGGTCCTCAGGGTGCTAGAGGATTCCAGGGAGAAGCAGGTCCACAGGGACTTAAAGGTGATGTTGGTATGGTTGGGGCTCCCGGTGCAAGAGGTGCAAAGGGTGAGCAAGGAGCACAAGGCTTCTCAGGAAAACCTGGTATTCCTGGTCCAATAGGTCCCCCAGGTCCACAGGGTCATATGGGGCACACAGGTGCCAAAGGTGAGGCTGGATTCACTGGTGCTCCAGGTATTCCAGGTAGCAAAGGGCCACCAGGTGAAAAAGGACATCCAGGACATCAAGGCCCACCAGGTAGCAGAGGTGAAAATGGCATGCCTGGAGCATCAGGACCACCAGGCCCAGCCGGACCTTCAGGTGTACCCGGTCTTAAGGGTCATCCTGGACTTCCAGGCCCCCCTGGCCCAGCAGGGCTCACAGCAAAGGGAATTTCTGGACCTCATGGTCCTCCTGGTATCCCTGGTGCCAGAGGTCAAGATGGTCTTCCAGGTCCACAAGGACCTCCTGGACCACCTGGCCCTCCAGGTGAGATTGTTTACCACCACGAGAAGAGCATGCCAATTAAATCCCACGAGATGGTGATGCCTGTTAGCCATGAGCTGATGAAGGCACCCATGTCAGCATTCACAGCTCTTCTTACCACAGCTTATCCTAATGCTGGAACACCGATCGTGTTCAACCAGATCGTGTACAATGGAGAAAACCACTATGATGCACACAGCGGCATATTCACCTGCCAGGTTCCAGGACTGTATTACTTCTCTTTCCATATGCATGTCAATGGAGCAAACGCATTGGTAGCACTTTACAAAAACAAAGAGCCAGTCCTGTTCTCTTACGATGAGTACAACAAGGGTTTCCTCGACCAGATGTCTGGCAGTGCTGTCCTCATGCTGGACGCCCACGACACAGTCTACATCCAGGTTCCAGATGACCAGTCCAACGGCATTTACGCAGACGATAACGTCCACTGTTCTTTCTCTGGGTTTTTGATTGCCTCAACGTGATAAACACATCCCAAGAAAACCTCAACCTTTACATTTCAGAAGTGCTCTGCGTTTACGCTGTTGTTCAAGAGGCCCCGAGATGAAGTCATGCAGAAGAGAAAATCATAACTCGTTGCAGAAATTTGCCTGTAGATTCTAGATATGGAAGTAACGATGGATAAATTATTATGAAAACAATCGTCCAGTAAATTAGCCAACAGATCAATAGCATCTCCCTCAAACCCACACTGATGATTACATATTGAAATGGTGCTACATTTCCTTTCCCCAAGCTCATGTTTGGTCAGGTTCCTATGTTTAGTATGCTTAGAAGAAGTCTCTTAGTTCACCACGCCTCTGTAAGACACATTGTGTGAGCCAGGTTTGCAATCAAAGTGAATAAATATGATAATTGTGAGTTGTTTTTGTTTTGTTTGTTCATTTAACTCTGTAATATCTCACAGTGTGTGCATTATGATACTCAACACAAATAAAGTTTTAGTGCCAGTCCTGCGGTTTGTGTTCACTGTAAGGGAAGTTCTCAGTACTTTACTCACTGTACCTCAATCGTTGTACTACATAAGCAATACTATCTTAAGATAACTTCCTGAATACATTAAAATGTCATTAGCATGGACTGAAATCGTAATGTTTCATTTTGATAAGCAAGCATAAGACCTTTCCAGAAATCCTGGACTGCGTAGTAAGAGGGGTAATAAGTGTCTACACACCTCGAAATGCAGATGTGTTGTAATTATGATCAATGGCTGCGACGATGTCTTTCCAAAAGTCTGATGTGATTTCAGTTCCTTGCTAGAATAAAAAACAACATTCATTAACATTCACCATACAGCTAATTAACAAACAGCACCTCTGATCTGCATTAGATATGAGCTGCTTTACCTTATTCATCATGTCCACCACTCTGGCACAGAGAAGAGCGCCGGGCAGGTCAAAGTAGTTGTCGTAAAAATAGTATTTTGCTGCAACAAACGAGCACACCAAATCACCCATACAGGTCATTCGAAAATAAAATGAAAAGATTCAATTGTAAAAATACAAATTATAGTTGTAATAGTTACAGAACTAATCAAATAAATGGAAAAATAAGTGTTATGCTGTGATTGTTATTATTGATAAAAGTGACGAGCTTAAAGGCAAAGTTCACCCAAAAATCTAAATTCATTCATTTTCTTGTCGGCTTAGTCCCTTTATTAATCCGGGGTCGCCACAGCGGAATGAACCGCCAACTTATCCAGCATATGTTTTACGCAGCGGATGCCCTTCCAGCTGCAATTCATCTCTGGGAAACATCCAAACACACATTCACACACACGGACAATTTAGCCTACCCAATTCACCTGTATCGCATGTCTTTGGACTGTGGGGGAAACCCATGCGAACACAGGGAGAACATGTAAACTCCACACAGAAATGCCAACTGAGCCGAGGCTCGAACCAGCGACCCAGCGACCTTCTTGCTGTGAGGAGACAGCACTACCTACTGCGCCACTGCTTCGCCCCCCAAAAATGGAAATGTCCTGTTAATTTACTCAACCAAGGGGCATCCAAGATGTAGATGACTTATTTTCTTCAGTACACTCTCAGAAATAAAGGTACGCGAGCTGTCACTGGGGTGGTGCCTTTTCAAAAGGTACAAATTTGTACCTAAAGGTCCATATTAATACCTGAAGGGTGCATATCAGTACCTAAAAAGTACAAAAGTGTTCCTCTTAATATTTGTAGGTACTAATATATACTTTTGGGGTACCAATATGGACTCTTGAAGTACAAGTGCTTACCTTTTAGGTAAAAGGTACCACCCCAGTGACCGCTTGTGTACCTCTATTTCAGAGAGTGTAGCGCATTAAAGAAGATTCTGAGCTCAATTTTTGATGTTAGGTGATTCATATCAGGGCAGTGAATGCTGATTTATTGTATTTTAGATTCAATAGTCTGTGAAAGACAATTAGTTACAATATTATTAGCTTCAATCCACAGCCTGGTAAAAGTAACTGTGACGCTGATAATGGAGTTGAGGATCCATTTATTTAAACAAAGGCAAAGGTCAAACACAGGAGCAATCGGTACGTACAGGTAATCCAGAAATCATGGTCACAATGGCGAATGGTCGGGACAGGCAGTATATGGAATAAAAACAAACAGGCAAAGCAAAGGATCAAAACATAGCTAGGCTAAACAAGGGGAAAACATGTCGTAATGCTCACAGCCAAACAAGACTCAGCAAAGTGTGCGTGCAAATGTGGTGTATGAATAGTCCTCGTAATCAGTCCTCGAGCAGCTCCCAGCTGTGTGTGTGTGTAATCAATGCAAACCCGGAACAGGTGTGTGTGTAAGGTGCATGACAGGATTTGTAGTCCATATTGTGTCAGGATTGTAGTCCGAGTAAAGGTGCATTTACCATCTATCTGCAGCCCCTAGACCGCAGGTGATCACAACAGATATCGACACGTGCAAATGTAGGCCCGTGTCTTTAATGACTCAACAGGAAGTCAGGTGACGCAGTTTGTTAATAAATATTGGTGCTTTATAATCTTTCGAACTACATTCGTAAAGATCTGTTTGACCAGGCTGTAAATGAAGCTAATAACATTGCAAATAATGTTTAATTTCCTACAGGAACCAATCATTTCGCTGCACAAGACTCCAGTGTGTCATCAGGAGGCGTGGCTATTCATGTGGACTCGTTTGTACTTATTTTTAATCTCAATAAACATTAAGTGGTCAGTGCTCAGTGGTTAGCACTATGGCCTTACAGCAAGAAGGTCACTGGTTTGAGTCCCGGCTGGATCAGTTGGTGTTTCTGTGTGGAGTTTGCATGTTCTCCCCGTGTTGGTGTGGGTTTCCTCCGGGTGCTCCGGTTTCCCCCACAGTCCAAACACATGCGCTATAGGGGAACTGATCAACTAAACTGGCCGTAGTGTGTGTGAATGAGTGTGTATGGGTGTTTCCCAGTACTGGGTTGGAGCTGGAAGGGCGTCCACTGTGTAAAACATATTCTGGATAAGTTGGCGGTTCATTCCACTGTGGCAACTCCTGATAAATAAAGGGACTGAGCTGAAGGAAACTGAATGACTGAACCATAAATCATCATATGAATCTTCAAGCACCGCAGATTCAGCTCAAAATCCTCTTTAATGTTCTACTGAACAAAATAAGTCTCCTACATCTTGGACGGCCCGTGGGTGAGTATATTAGCAGGAAATGTTCATTTCTGTGTGAACTACCCCTTTAAAGAGCACAGCCTTACCAGATCGAGTGTACGAAGTATTGAGGCTATTAAAATGCTTCCATTCTCGCTTTGGGCCGTAATGCTTTACGATGTCATCTGTGCTCAGGTTTTTCGTGCCGTGAGTTGCCCTGCAATAACATGTTTAACACAGATTAACAGTTTGGCAACAGGTCAAGAGCAGTTCTGCATACAGTTGAAGTCTGAGTTATTCGCCCCCATGTATATTCCCCGATTTCTGTTTAAAGGAAAGATTTCTCCAACACATTTCGAATCATAACAGTGTTAATAACTTATCTCTAATAACTGATTTATTTTCTCTTTGTCATGATGACAGTAAATAATATTAGACTAGATATTCTTCAAGACACTAGTGTTCAGCTTACAGTGACATGTAAAGGCTTCACTAGGGTAATTAGGGTAAAGTTAGGGTAATTAGGCAAGTCATTGTATAACAGTGGTTTGTTCTGGAGACAATCCAACACTAATATTGCTGAAGAGGCCAATAATATTGAGCTTAAAATGGAGTTTAAAACTATTAAAACTGCTTTTATTCTAGCCCAAATAAAACAAATCAGACTTTCTCCAGAAGAACAAATATTATCAGACACACTGTGAACAATGAATCTGTTCAACATCATTTGGGAAATATTTGACGATTGCAATAAACAATTCACAGGAGGGGGAATAATTCTTCTTCAACTGTATTTCCACATACACATACGAAAAAATAACCAGTTTCTAGAAAGAAGTGGCAATGAATTTTACTGCTGATCAATCATTTACAAATATTAAAATCGACTGACCTCAAAACGGTGCCATCCTCTGCCAGCTTGACCAGGTTGCCCTCCTCAAGGTCCACCACAAGACCTTTAAAACTGGTCACATGACAACAAGACACTGTCTTTGTGAACTACAGAGACAAACAGGCTTATACTAGGGTGATATGAACCCATAAATGACAAGATCATGGACATACTTAACTGACTTTAACCTCATATGATTTATTTTCATGCTGACACCAATGCCTGCTTGACATTTTCTGGAGATGTAGGAAGAGTTTCATGTTTAATCCTCCAGTTCTGAAGCATGGTGGCTATCCGCTTGTTAAGTGTTGACGTGACTCATTCGGACTGAGAAAATATTCATTCATGACCAGTTTTTACTCATATCACACAGTAAAGGGAATTCTATATAAAATCATGGTGTACACAATTACATGGACTACACTACCTGACAAAAGTCTACTATCCAAGTTTCAAGAACAACGAGTAATAAGTTGATCATTTGGCATCAGAAGTGGCTCATATGAAAGGCATAAGCGTTTTTGCAGGACTCTCAGAGTTCATTTGTGTTCATCTTCAACGCCTCCTCCTTCCTGCTCAATAATGTTGATATCTGGTGACTGGGCTGGCCAATCCTGGAGCACTCTCTGCTTTCAGGATCTTTGATGTGGAGGCTGAAGTATGAGGAGCGCTATCCTGCTGGAGAATTGTCCCTCTCCTGTGGTTTGTAATGTAATGGGCAGCACAGATGTCTTGATACCTCAGGCTGTTGATGTTGCCGTCCTTCATTTACAATAATGAAGATCTGCACCTACATCAGCTGATAACCAGCGCCTTGATTGACCAGAATTTTATTTCGGGACATTTTATTGCAAGCGTAATTATTGTTTTGTTTATTTGGGCTCAAATCTCGTTTATTAACATGGAGGAGGCGGGCTTTATGTCTTGTGCTGCAGCCAGCCCCCAGGGGGCGATCTAACAGCCAAGACCTTTACTCAAAAGCAGGCGTGTAGCACCTGGAACACCTCCCTAGGTGGTTGCAGGTTTCCAGCTTTGTTCTAGATATCTCATTTCATGTTTAGAAGTAGAAAGAAAGTCAAACCGGTTTATGCCAAGTGAAAGGAGACAGAGTTTTCACTTTCAGATGAACTATCGCATCTTTCCTCATGAGCTAACAATTAGCAATTTACTAGGATTGACACAGCTAATCAGTAATGAAGTCCAGGTATGAGGAGCAGGATTTCAAGCAAGTCTTCTTAGTCAGTCTAATAACTCTGTGTGTGTGTTTGTGTGCATGCGTGCGTGCATGCATGTGTGTGTGTGTGCATTGTTTCCGCAGCTCACCAGAAATCCCAAGTGGCGGGTGTTAGATGCAGCAGATCTTTATCATAGCCCTTGTGCTCCACCAGATACCGTGCAAAGCTCTCATAGATCAGCTGAAGAAAACAGAGGAAGAAAAGGAGACATTATTGACATGAAGATCCAGCCATAGGCATTTGAAGTCGAGCTTATTCTGCGATGTGGGAGTGTTTTCAGACTATGTTTCCTATGGGAGAAATGACTAGGAATAACCAACGGCAGAAAATGATGAAGCTACTATACAGATAAGTGCGTTTATGATTATATATATGTATATTAGGCCTGTCATAACATCTTTTTTTTGTTGTAGGCTATATTGCACCAAAACAGATTGCGATAAACAATATTATTGTCATTTTAGGACCATTTTATACCACTTATCATATAATATATAATATATTATATTATATATACCGCATCACTAAAAATGATTAAGGATTAAATGCTGTGTGATGAGTCCATATATTGACTATTGTGATTTATAAAACAAAAATAATATGATTATAAAATATCAGTTTGCATCATCAGACAGCACACCGAGCTGTTTTTCCATGGCTAACAATGAATGGAAGTGAATGAGACCGGAAGTCTCAAGCCAATAAGGTTTATTATTAGTGGCTCCAACTCAGATGTGAAGAATAAGGTCAAACAATTGTACGAGGATCTTCTGGGGTGGCATCATCATTCATTCATTCATTTTCTTGTTGGCTTAGTCCCTTTATTAATCCGGGGTCGCCACAGCGGAATGAACCACCAACTTTTCCAGCATCTTATTACACAGTGGATGCTCTTCCAGCCGCAAACCATCTCTGGGAAACACCTACAAACACTCATTCACACACACACTCATACACTACGGACAATTTAGCCTACCCAATTCACCTGTACCGCATGTGTCTGGACTGTGGGGGAAACCGGCGCACCCGGAGGAAACCCTGCGACCTTCTTGCCGTGAGGCGACAGCACTACATACGGCGCCACTGCTTCACCCGGCATCATTATAAGGACATAAAAACACATAGCATATGAAATTTTAAAGAGCCCATATTATGGGTTTTTGAAAATTCCCCTCCATGTAGTGTGTAACACAGCTCTAAGTGAAGCGAAGTATCCAGCTAAGGCTTAAATCTGTAAGAGTTCAGTGTTTAAAACGGTTGATTCATCTATAAAAGAGTCGACTCATAGTGCTTCAAACGAGTCGCCTTGATACCGACTCATTAGGTGTTTCGCCATGACGTACGAACGAAACCAAGTTATTCACGTGCACGCGCAAACCCGGGAGATTTCAAACCTGAGGCCCCGCCCTCTGACGCAGAAACCCAGACACACACACACACCCACAAACACACGCACACCCACAAACACACGCACACAAACATGCCGGTCGATTGAAGTCACACTGCAGATGGATATATTGAGTCTCTACCCAAAGATGAAACCTCAGCATTATAACCAAGCAGTTGGAAACTTCTGGAAGCTACATGCTACAAAGAATACTTCATCTGAGTTTGTTAAAGGAAGGATCAGTAAAGAGTAACTGATGGACGTCAGGATGGGTTTCTTCCATTTCTCAAGTGTAAGTACGTGCGGTTAAAGTTGTTGCCTCGTTTACTCTTGCTTGCAAATGTATTTAGTTGTGATTTGTTACTTGTAACCGAGTGTACTGTATCAGGTTAACTGGCTATATTCTCTTATCGCGTGCAAAGTCACGTTAAAAACGCGACGCGTGCTGTTTGTTTATGGAGCTCCGTGCTAGAGTTCTGCTCCCGCGATTTATTTGGAAATTTATTCCCGCGCCGCAGAAATCTGGCGCGGGGACAGCCGCGGGAATAAATTTCCGAATAAATCGCGGGAGCGGTCGGTAACGGGTTTAATTTGGGACGGGAGCGGGCTGTCTAGCAATATCACGGATATTGCTATGCGAATTAGAAAGAGAGAGTCTGCGTGGTGCTTGTGTGTGTGTTAGTGCGCACGCGCGCGTATGAGAGAGAGAGAGAGAGAGAGAGCGAGCGAGCGAGCGAGAGAGAGAGAGCGAGCGAGCGAGCGAGCGAGCGAGCGAGCGAGCGAGCGAGAGAGAGAGAGAGAGAGAGAGAGAGAGAGAGAGAGAGAGAGAGAGAGAGAGAGAGAGAGAGCGAACGAACGAACGAACGACAGCTTGGCTGTCTGGACTGTATACTGGGTGATTTTTGGTTGTGTTCTCCGCTCTAGCGGGACCGGGCGCGGCGGGCAGAAAACGGAGCGGGTTCTCAGGCTAAAACCTGGCGGGTGCGGGCGGAAGCGGAAGCGTTGTCATCCGGAGGTGTGTGTGTGTTTTTGTGTGTGTGTGGTATGGCCAGTACACGACTGTCTCCTTCGTTCAGTTTTCCGTGGCACTATCCACTTGCCATAGTGTGGCAGCTAAAATCCACGTCTATACTATCGAGCGTGTATGAACTGTGATTACTTTTTATATTGCTGATTAGCTATTGGCCATTTCCCTCTCTGACTGAAGGCAGTCGACCAATCGCGACAGACTGTCATCGGTCCAATCAGCGCAGATTAGCTCCGCGCTAAGGAGGGGTTTGGGAACAAATGAATCACTGGACGATTCATACAGGAGTCGCTGGGATAATTAGGTAAAAATAAATGCAGATTATAAGACCATGAAAGTGTTTTTTGACCTTGCATGCATATTAGACTGTTGTTGGAGACCCTTACAACCAGGATATGACCCTATTTCATGTATAATATGGGCTCTTTAAGGCATGTGTCCACCGAAGTGTTGTGTTTCTCGAGTTGGGGTGTTTCCAAAAACCATCGTTAGCCAACTAAGTTCACAAGTTGCGTCGTTACAAACATAGTTCATTGATTTGGCGTTTCCCAAATCCATCTTTCCAACAAACATTTGCAAACAGCATCACAAACTTCTACACCTCTAGAGCTGTAGTTAGAAACAGTTCCTGGCTGTGTTCTATTCCCACTTATCCCCCCTATGCCCTATTCATTTAGAGCATTCTAACATTTAAACTTAGATTCATTAAAATAAAAAAGCATTAAAGTAATCTCTTTTAGGTGTAATTTGCTATCAGAGTATTTCTACAGTTCAGTTTTAGTGCTCTTCATGTTTACTATTGTGCTCCCTTCGCAGTGCACTTTGAAAACATTGATGTCATTTTGAGCGCAGCCGTGGCTCATGATGAAAGCTATAGGTGACCTATTATTTATAAGCAGAAAAAGCTTGTGAAAACAAACAAAAAAACACAGCATACGCTTTTAATTTAGAGTCGATTATTTATGAGGTATCTGTCCTGTATATGACATGGGCCTGCTGGCTAGAGCATTCTGCAGTGCTTCACATGTCAAACTGTAAAAGTAGACTTTCATTCATTCATTTTCTTGTCGGCTTAGTCCCTTTATTAATCCGGGGTCGCCACAGCAGAATGAACCGCCAACTCATCCAGCAAGTTTTTACGCAGCGGATGCCCTTCCAGCGTCAACCCATCTCTGGGAAACATCCACACTCTCATACACTATGGACAATTTAGCCTTCCCAATTCACCTGTACCACCTGTCTTTGGACTGTGGGGGAAACCGGAGCACCCGGAGGAAACCCACTCGAAGGCAGGGAGAACATGCAAACTCCACACAGAAATGCCAACTGAGCCGAGGATCGAACCAGCGACCTTCTTGCTGTGAGGCGACAGCACTACCTACTGCACCACTGCCTCGCCAAAATAAAAAATAAACAATATCCTACTTCATCATCATCATCATCATCATCATTATTATTGTTATTAAAGTATGATTTTTTTCATTTTACAATAAATATTACATTTCATTTCTTAATAAATCGCTTCGTTATTTATTTATATGATTTATATATGTGATCAGAATGCGTGTTCGCTTTTTTTTTCTTCACCAAAGAGGCTAGAAACATTCTGAAGTCTTCATTATTTTTGTTATTATTATGTTTTAATTAGTATTTTTTTTATTGAAATGGCCAAATTGTGGCTGAGGACGGTTAAATGTGCTGGTCAGTTTGATTTTTGTCTAATAAATGACAGTAGGCTACAGTTTTTTACTTTAAAACTTTAACAGATTGCTATTTTTCCTAATGATATATGATGTAATTAATTAATATTTTATAAATGTGTCTTGTTTTAATTTTTCTGTATTGAAATTTAGTACATCATAAAGTGTGGTTATGATGACCAAAATAAAAGTGCTGCTTAAAATGTCACTAAAATGCAGCATTTAAATCTCATAGTTTAATCAATTTTACTGCAAAAGTCACATCCATAACGCTGGAAGTGCTCATATAACGATGGTGAACGTCTGGGGCGAATATATAAACCCTCCAGTATTCTGAGGTGCCCCCATGGGAAGATGAACAGCTCAGCCCTGTCCTAATATGACAGATCCAGCACATCTCGCACACAGCAGGCCTGTCGGTTAGCTTTGGCTCATCATCACAGCGCTGTTCCGCTGCAGGGCGAGACGGCACAGATGACAGCGTCCACACACTCATTACAGCCTGAGAGCACGCGCTATAACGCGGTTATGTCATGATGTGCAGCATGAGACTCACCCTGGAGGTCTCCTTCAGATAGTATCGGCAGAGCGTGTGGTCCAGATCAAAGCCGATGACATCACACTCCGACAGCGAGAAGTATTCACTCATCGTACGGGCTCGAGGAGAAACGGACGACGGCAGCGGGGAGGTTTGCGGAGTCGTGTCGTCTTGCGGTGACAGCGACGACTCGGAGCTGTCGGTGGCGGGAGTCTGCGATGGATGGGTTCGCTTGTTCTGCAACACGTGGGATAACAATGTCACGAAGACTACACGCCGCGTTTCTACGGAAACGGTGTCACGGGTGCGCGCATCCGCTAATCGCGTGTTTAACGCGGAGACTCCGGTTTTACGGACAGCACGGAGCTGTGTGTCATGCTTGCATGCACGAATCTAAAGGGGAATACTCCGAATAGGCGCACATTTCCGGGTGTTTTACCGTAATAACGCGAAGAAAATGTCACGGAATTATTGGAAGTGCGGTAAAGTTGGCTTCATATTCGACTATTCGTTTTGAACTTGTGGCACGGCCCCGGTGTTGTTTACCACGTTTCTTTAAATATAAGATCTAAAATAGCATGCAAGTATAAATTCAAAACATCATTAGTATTGAGGACAAAAACTGCAAAAACATTTCATAAATACGCAAAAATATAAAATATGTTTTAAATGAGTATATAAAGTAATACATTCCTGCATAAATTAAATAATAAATAAAAAATAAATATGCAAAAAAATAAATTATATAATTCAATGAGTAAATAAATACGTAAATTCCTTCATAAATAATAAATAAATACGCAAATATATAAAATATATAATTAAATTAGTATATAAATCCATAAATTCCTACATAAAAAATAAAAAATAAAAAATAAAAATGTGCAAATAAATAAAATAAATAATTAAATGGGTAAATAAATCCATAAATCCCTGCATAAATATAATAATAAATAAATAAATATGCAAATAAATAGAATATGTAATTAAATGAGTAAATAAATGAATAAACTCCTGCATAAATAAAATAATAAATAAATAAATATGCAAGTATATAAAAAATATATATTTTATATACTTGCATATTTATTTATTAATTATATATAATTAAATGAGTAAATAAATCCATAAATTCCTGCATAAATAAAATAATAAATATGCAAATATATAAAATATATAATTAAATTAATAAATAAATCCTTAAATTCCTGCATAAATAAAATAATAAATAAAGAAATATGAAAATAAATAAATAAATGTATATAAGAATCCACATAATTCCTGCATAAAAAAAAATATAAGAATAATTAATAGTGCAGGCAAGTAAATAAATAAATAAATTACAGGAATGTTGGTGGAATAAAAAACCTGAGGGAAAGTAAATGCACAGCTACATTCAAGAAATGAATAAAAGTTTGAAAGGGGGGAAATAAACTTTCAGTTTCGATATTAATCAATACATCAATACTTTTGACAACACTATTTTGTATTGTTAAATAAAGACCAACAAATAGCTATTAATGAGCTATTACAGCACCTAAATGATTCACATTTATAATCATGTACATGTTTTTATTATTATTATTTTATTAGGGCATCATGGTGGAGCAGTGGGTAGCAAAGTCGCCTCACAGAACGTTGCGGGTTCAAGCCCCGGCTGGGTCAGTTGGCTTTTCTGTGTGGAGTTTGCATGTTCTCCCCGTGTTGGCGTGGGTTTCCTCCGGGTGCTCCGGTTTCCCCCACAATCCAAACACATGCGCTATAGGGGAACTGATCAACTAAATTGTCCGTAGTGTATGAGTGTGAAAGAGTGCATGGGTGTTTTCCAGGGATGGGTTGCAGCTGGAAGGGCATCCGCTGTGTAAAACATATGCTAGATAAGTTGGCGGTTCATTCCGCTGTGGCAACCCCAGATTAATAAAGGGACTAAGCCCAAAAAAAATGAATGAATGAATGATTTTTTTCTTAATGCTATTCCAACACATACGCCTATATTTATGGCAAGAGTCAGTTTACACACCAGTATTTCTTATACTCACAGTGTAAGAGCCATTATGTTTTTTGTAATGCTGTTTTTGACCACTGGGTGGAGTGGGGGTTTGGAGGAGTATATAGGTAGACAAAGACTTAGAACAACAGGTGTGTAATTAGAGGGAAGCACAACATTTTTTGACCGTGTTTGAAAGAGCTTTATTGAGGCATTCAATGTGATTTTATGAGCATTTATATATCAGACTGTGAGTGGAAATTGAACCATAAGAACTCTCTGTGCAAAAAATAAATCTGATAAGCAGTATTTGGAGGACAATTGTTTGTTGAGCTCTCACGCGTCAGAAACAACCCTACAACACCTCAAGTGACAAAATGGTCATTTGTGTCACTACATTTGTCAAAAAATGGCTTCTTTGTGGATCATCATGCATCATTTTTGGACTTTCTTGAGGAGCAGCCGTGATGAACTGAATGAATGAAACAAAGGTATGTGTAGCGCTACTTAATGAATGACTTTGTGTGCACACAATAGCGTAAATCCAATGCATTGGTTGCTTAAGTTTTAAAGTTGCTTAGGAGGCAAACGATTTCAGCTGTGAATATGAGTTTAATGAATTGTGATGATGATGGTGCGGCTACCTGTGAACAGACAGAGAATATTGTGCCATTTGAGAAGTTTGAAACAGAGCATGTGAGGGAAAAGCGGCTCATTAAGCTTACTCCTAAGGCTTTATTGGAAAAATTGGAAACTCTGCAAAAGACACGAAAGTGTAAACTAAGCAAGGCAAAGAACTTAATGGCTATTATAAAGGATTTTATGTCCAACCGAGAATATGAAAAGGAGGTGCAGTGTTCCTTTGAGAAATTCATCAAATTGAGAGACGAAACAAAGGAAATGCACAATTCGGTGATGGTTCTTTTGCCCAGTGAAGAAAAGGAAAAACAACAAACATGGTTCAATGGAAAGATGTTGATTTGCGATGAGTTTGTAGATGATGTTGAGAAATGGTTGAGCGCTGAAAGTCAAGTTTCATGTTCTGGTGTTGATGCAAGGGTATGTCAAGAGGATGTTAATCCAGATGATAGCATTTCCAACATATCCTCATGTAAATCCAGTAAATCGTCCAGTAAGAAAAGTTCAAGCAGTGTACGTAGTGGGAGATCTTCTGCTGCTTCAGCACGAATCATGGCAGAGGCAGAGAAAGCTGCATTAATGGCGCGTGCAGCTGCTTTAAAGGAAAAGCATACTTTGGAGGTACAACAAGAAAAGCTGAGACATAGACAAGAACAGCTGGATATTGATGCAGAGATTGCAGCCGCTACTGCAAAAATTGCTGTTTTAAATAATCAGTCTCTCAAACCCTGCACTGATGATATGAATGCATATTGTGATAAAGGAACTGTTACTCTCAACCCTCATGCAGAGGCATATGTGCCAATAGAAGTCTCCCTGCAAGAAAGCTCAAGGAACGTGATTCAGCAAATTCACAGTGTGCCACAAATTGATCCTCATTTCACGTCACAAATGCAATCCTCAAGTGTAATGCAGAACAGTGATGGAATAATAACTTCGAACCTTTGTAATATCTTGCAAAAACAAAATGAGATTACCACCCTGCTTGTACAACAACAACAATCCAGCACACTGCCTCAAAGAGATATTCCTGTGTTTGATGGCAATCCTCTGCAATATAAAACTTTTATGAGAGCATTTGAGCATGGAATAGAAGACAAAACCAAAAATAGTAGAGATTGTTTATACTTTCTGGAACAATATACACAAGGTCAGCCAAGGGAGATTGTGCGCAGTTGTCAGCATATGGATGCACAAAGAGGGTATGTGCAAGCTAAAGCATTGTTAAAGGAACATTACGGCAATGAATTCAAAATAGCTTCTGCATATGTAGAAAAGGTTTTGGCATGGCCTTCAATAAAATCTGAGGATGTAAATTCATTGCAGAGTTATGCTCTCTTTTTGCGTGGATGCTGTAATGTAATGGAAGAAATTGACTATATGGAGGAGCTAGAGATGCCAAGCAATTTGAAAACCATCATCATGAAGTTGCCTTACAAATTAAGGGAAAATTGGAGAACTGTTGCATGTGAGTTAATGGAAAGACGCAAGCAGAGAGCACGGTTTAAAGATATTGTGATATTTGTTGAACGTCAAGTCAAAATGTCATCAGATCCCTTGTTTGGTGATATCCAGAATACCCAGCCTGTGCAACAGAAATTCCAACCTAAGACTAAAGTTAGAAACAGCTTTGCAACAACGGTTGTCACCAACAATAAATCAATTCAATGCTGTGAGACTGATATAAGATCAAAGGCCCCAGTTGTATGTTTGTGCTGCAAACGTGATCACTTATTGGAGCAGTGTACACAAATGCAAAACAAGCTGCATAAAGACAAATTGAACTTTCTAAAGGAAAAAGGTGTTTGTTTTGGCTGTCTTTCTTTTGGACACCTAAGCAAAAGATGTGATAAGCGCTTGACTTGTGCAGTGTGTGGTCAAAAGCATCCCAGCATTTTGCATATCCAACAAAAGGAAAGAGTGTGCACTCAAGAACAAAGTCATTCATCTTTAAGTAGTGCACATGTTGCCCTTACAACATGTGGTCAAACAGGGGCCGGTGACGATGGAGACTGTGCATTATCAATTGTACCAGTTCAAGTCAAATCCAGCAAAGGACAAACGGTAATTCAAACCTATGCATTTTTGGATCCTGGCAGTTCTGCCACATTTTGTTCAGAACGCTTAATGCATAGTTTGAAATTAAAGGGAAAGGAAACTAATATTGTTTTGAAAACAATGGGCAATCAAAGGGCTGTTAATAGCACTGTTTTGACTGGATTGGAAGTGTCTAACCTTCTTGATGACACCTTTTATAGTCTTCCAGAAGTCTTCACTCAAGAAAGAATGCCTGTATCCAGAGACAACATTGTCACTCAAAAGGATTTGGAAAATTGGCCATATCTGAAAGGTGTTGAGATTCCTCAAATTCCTGCTGATGTGGATTTGCTGATTGGAGCAAATGCTTCCAGGGTAATGGAGCCCTGGGAGGTTATAAACAGCAATGGAGATGGACCTTATGCAGTTAGAACCCTATTGGGATGGGTTGTAAATGGACCACTCCAAGGAAGCAGGAATAAGGTCAAATGTTCAGGTGTGACTGTTAACAGGATTTCTGTAAGAAAATTGGAGGATATGCTTGGTAAACAATACAATCATGACTTTAATGAGAATTCTGTTGAAAAGAAGGAAATGTCAAGAGAAGAGCATGCCTTTATGGAAAAGGTAAGCAAGTCAATTGAGTTTCAAGATGGACATTATAAATTGAATCTTCCTTTTAGGATGGAAATTCCCATGTTGCCAAACAACCTTTGTGTGGCTAAACAGCGCTTAATTGGATTGAAAAGGAAATTTGAAAGAAACAAGATTTTCCATCAAGAATATAAAGATTTCATGGATGAGGTAATTAAACACGGTTATGCCGAAATAGTACCGTTACATCAATTAAAACAGGATGAAGGGAAAGTTTGGTATATCCCTCACCATGGGGTTTATCACCCCAAGAAGCAAACATTAAGAGTGGTGTTTGATTGTGGAGCTGCCTTTAAAGGTACATCATTGAATGATCAGCTTCTGCAGGGTCCTAATCTGACAAATTCACTGTTGGGAGTTCTTGTGAGGTTTCGACAAGAGCCTATTGCATTTATGGCTGATGTAAAAGCAATGTTTCACCAGGTTAAAGTTGCAGAAGAAGATACTGACTTTCTTCGTTTCCTATGGTGGCCAGATGGTGATATCAATCAGGACTCTGTGGAATACAGGATGAAAGTGCATTTGTTTGGTGCTGTGTCGTCCCCAAGTTGTGCTTGCTATGCTTTACGTAGAACTGCTGAGGACAACAAAGATGACTTTCCTGAAAAGGTAATTGACACAATTTACACAAACTTCTACATGGATGATTGTTTGAAAAGTGTACCTTCTGAGGAAGAGGCCGTCTTGATGATCAAGGATCTCACAGATGTCTGCTTAGCAGGAGGTTTCCAGTTAATAAAATGGATCAGCAATAGCCGCATTGTGCTACAAAGTGTACCTGAAGAACACCGAGCACAGGGCATAAAAATGATGGATCTGGACAAGGACCAGTTGCCAATGGAAAGAGCTCTTGGTTTGTGGTGGTGTGTTGAATCTGACACTTTCAATTTTAAAATAACTAGCAAAGATCATCCTTGCACCAGGCGTGGTGTCCTGTCAAAGGTATGCTCTGTCTATGATCCTTTAGGATTTTTGGCTCCATTCACTCTTACAGCAAAAATTCTCCTGCAAGAGTTATGTAGGATAAGATGTGGATGGGATGATCTGCTACCCTCATATCTCCAAAGGCAGTGGTCTTTATGGTTAAAAGAGCTTGAGAAGATGGCAGATTTCAAGATGGACAGATGTCTAAAACCAGCAGGAATGGATGAACTTACCAACGTTCAGTTGCATCATTTTGCTGACGCAAGTACACTTGGATATGGCACTGTGACGTACCTTAGGATGGAGACAAAACATGATGTTCATGTAACATTCCTACTCAGTAAAGCTAGAGTAGCACCTTTGAAATCAGTAACTATTCCACGTCTTGAATTGACAGCTGCTGTGCTTGCTGCTCGAGTGGACAAAATGTTAAGGGCAGAGATGCAGTTTCCATTGGTTGATTCAGTATTCTGGACAGATAGTACGTCCGTGTTGAAATACATAAAAAATGAGGACAAACGTTTTCTTACCTTTGTCGCCAACAGGATCTCTGCAATAAGAGAAATTACAACACCATTACAGTGGCGATACATACCTACGACTCAAAATCCAGCAGACTGTTGCTCCAGAGGTCTGAAAGCAGATCAGCTATTAACAAACAGAGAATGGATCAATGGACCAAGTTATCTGTGGAAACCAGTGGAAGAATGGCCAGCACAAATATTTGATTCTGCTCTTAAAGCAGATGATCCTGAAGTCAAGAGGAACATATGTGTAAATAGCACTCTTGTAAGTGAACAGTCAAATGCTACTCATAGGCTGATTACTCATTTCTCAGACTGGACAAAGTTGAAGGTTGCTGTTGCTTGGCTCTTGAAATTAAAGACAGTTCTGAAACAACGAAGTCAAAAGAGAAAGGAAATTCAAGCCTCTTTAGACTCTTCTGGAGTAACTTCTAAAAAGACGGAGAAAGAACTTCGAAAACTAACTGGTTCTGTGGTTACACCAAATTTAAGTTTGCAGGATGTGAATGAAGCTGAAGTAGCTATTGTTGCATTCAGTCAAAGGCAACAGTTTAAAAAGGAAATCGATGCTCTGTCAGTTTCACCTGTTTCAAAAATAAGCCGAGACAGCAAGCTGTATAAATTGGATCCCGTCTATCAAGACGGTATTTTGAGAGTAGGAGGACGATTGAGAAATTCTGCTATGCCGGAAGAAAGAAAGCATCCGATCATTCTGGCTAAGGATCAGCATATTGCCACGCTCATCTTGCGTCATATACACCAACAGTTAGGTCACAGTGGAAGAAATTATATGCTTTCAGAGCTGAGGAAAAGATATTGGATCATTAAGGGTAATGCAGCTGCCAGAAGGATTATATCGAGTTGTGGCCATTGTAGACGTTTTGGAGTTAAGGTGGGTGAGCAGAAGATGGCAGACTTGCCAAAGGAACGACTCCTTCCCGATTTGCCTCCATTTTCGAATGTTGGGGTGGATTATTTTGGTCCTGTGGAAGTTAAAAGAGGACGCTCCATTGTAAAACGTTACGGAGTCATCTTTACTTGCATGGCAAGTCGAGCAGTTCATCTGGAAGTCGCCTACTCATTGGACACTGATTCATGTATTAACACTCTTCGAAGATTTATCTGCAGACGAGGGCAAGTAACTCAAATAAGATCAGATAATGGTACCAACTTTGTTGCCGCAGAAAAGGAATTAAAGGAATCACTGAGATCATGGAATCAAAACAAGATTCAAAGGGCAATGCTCCAGAAAGGTGTCCAGTGGAGTTTCAATCCTCCAGGAGGTTCGCATTATGGTGGAATCTGGGAACGTGTAATCAGAATGGTCAAAAGAATTTTGAATTCCATCCTACATCAGCAGATTTTGGATGATGAAGGATTCCATACTGTACTATGTGAAATTGAGGCCATTCTAAATGATCGCCCAATAACTAAGTTGTCAGATGACCCCAATGATTTGGAGCCACTTACTCCAAACCATCTTCTTCAGATGAAAGGTAAACCAGTATTACCACCTGGATTATTTGAAAAATCTGAATTATACAGCAAGAGGAGATGGAAACAGGTCCAGTATATGTGTGACTTATTCTGGAAAAGATGGACAAATGAATATTTGCCTTTGCTTCAAGATCGGCAGAAATGGAATAAGGAAAGGAGAAACTTTGTTCCTGGTGACATTGTTGTCATTGTGGACTCGTCTGCCCCTCGAGGGTCTTGGTTAATGGGGCGAATTCTGGAGGTTTTTCCAGATAAAAATGGACTTGTTCGTTCTGTGCGAGTACAAACTAAAACCAGTGTACTTGAGAGACCCGTGACAAAACTTTGTCTGTTGTATGACAACATGGAAATATAATGGACTGATGGTAAAGACTGTTAAATTTGACACCTACACAGAATTGATTAATGCAATGTTTATAGTGTTGCTTTAATGGCTCTTTGTATGTACATTGTTGAATTGTTATGTCTACCTGCCATGTACAATTAGGGGCCGGGGTGTAAGAGCCATTATGTTTTTTGTAATGCTGTTTTTGACCACTGGGTGGAGTGGGGGTTTGGAGGAGTATATAGGTAGACAAAGACTTAGAACAACAGGTGTGTAATTAGAGGGAAGCACAACATTTTTTGACCGTGTTTGAAAGAGCTTTATTGAGGCATTCAATGTGATTTTATGAGCATTTATATATCAGACTGTGAGTGGAAATTGAACCATAAGAACTCTCTGTGCAAAAAATAAATCTGATAAGCAGTATTTGGAGGACAATTGTTTGTTGAGCTCTCACGCGTCAGAAACAACCCTACAACACCTCAAGTGACAAAATGGTCATTTGTGTCACTACACACAGTCTTTATCACACACTCACAGGGGAGAGGATTTACTACTGAACACATTATATTATATAATATTATATTATATTATATTATATTTGATTATATTATATTGTATTTGATTATATTATATATCATATTTTAATCTTCACTTCTGTAATATTAACAAATATGGTCAAACATTTACCTAATGATTAATAATAAATAAATCATAATGCTATTATACATGTTAGTTGATTACACTTTTTAAATATTACCATTTTAACAATATGCCACTTAAAATGACAGTAGATAAGATTATGTAACTAATTTATGTTGTGTTTATTGAATAGCTGCGCTCCATATGTCTTATATAACAGTCGTGCTTTCAGCTGCCCTAAATCAATCCCAGTACCTCCAGTAAAATACACTGAACCTATTAGGTTTTGTAAGCGTCCAAAGATGCATGGAAAATTGTGTTGTTCATTTAGTCGCCGTTAGAGGGCATCAGGTAGCTTGATAGTGTCACATTGTGATAATACTTTTAGAAAAGTGCACTTTATTGGGTTAAAGATGACCTATTATGTCCTTTTTACCATATGCAAAATGCGTCCCTATTGTCTGTAGAGTGTGTTTGTGAAGTTTAAGCTCAAAATACATCACAGATAATGTTCTCCAACTCCCCCTTTCAGGCTTTGATCCTGATTGTGGTGTTTTGGTGACTGTTGCTTTAAATGCAAATGAGATTGTGCTCTTTTTAGAAGAGGGCGGAGTTATAAATGCCTGTGTGTCAGCATAGTGGCAGGTTTAAAAACAAGACTGACGTCCTATGCTAATGAGGGAGAGATGGGCACTAGTGGGCGGGGCTTTCCCCTCTGATGACACTTCAAAGGGAGAATGTCAATCACAGTGTTTCTGCAGACTGATTCTATCAAGTCTGATAATAAAAACATATAATTATTAAAGTTAGGACACAACTTAAATCAGCCTTACTTGGTGTTGTCAATCTACCTTGCATGAGTTTTGAACCAGGCCTGCAAGTTCAACCACTGGGTGTCAAAAAACACTGCAACATGAAGGATTTGTGTGGATCCCATCATTTTATAGAGTAGCCTAACATCTATTTACACTCAAAATAAAAATATTCTGCTTGTTTAAACTATATGTTTTCTTTTTCTGGACATCTTAATTGGTTCATGTTTAAGCTACGGTGTGAACTTAATTAATTTGTGTTGGGAAAACATGGTGAAACCAAACATTTCCATACAGTCTACCAAGTGTACCAAGTATACTTTCAGTATCATTGATATATGTATCTGAAATGAGCTGATTGTTCAGCGTCTCCTCTTATCTTCGCCCATATCTTGTCTTGAATGAGCTCCGCGTTACTCATTGCGCACTTGTTGTGTGGCATCTGGAGAATCCTGCCCGAGGGCGTATTGCTGAAACCTGCCTCACAATCTGCTTTTGTTTTTTATAGTCGAGTTTCAGGTACTAAATCGTCGCCTGTTGATCGTTCAGAGGCTGAAAATCAGACTGGAGTTGACTCGACTGAAGGAGAAGGGCGATATTGAACAGGAATAATGTGAGCAGGAAACGCGAACTGATTTTCTTCACTTGCTGTTTGACCTCAGCTGTAAATCTCCAGTTTTACTGCCGTCAGGGGCTGTGCTGACAGCCTTATCTCGTGTCACACAAGTCCAAGGGTTTTTCATTTCTTCTATCGATCACAGTATGGATGTATAACTCTTCAGCTCATTCCCAAAATGCTGAAATGAACTGGATTTACGCACTTCATCTCTAGCTGCTTATATACTGGATTGATGAACAACTTTCGCGATGGGAGACGTCAGAGAGCGGATTATAACGTGCTGTCAGAGCGTTTTCCAGTGTTTTAGAGACCCGGACACTAGCCCCTCACCGGACACCGGGAAGAGGCACATTGAGGTGATTACAAATGAGTTCGCGAAGCCGCAGAACCGAGAGCTGCCGCCGACGCCGGTGCTCTATGTGGCGCTTTATGACTACACCGCGCGCACGGACGACGATTTGAGCTTTAATGCCGGGGATAAACTGGAGCCCATCACCAAAGGAGAGGACTGGTGGTTCTCCAAGGCAATAACCGGCATCTCCGCCAACAAAAAGGGCTACATTCCGGCGAACTATGTGGCGCCCGTGGAGAGCCTGGATGCTGAACCGTAAGTTCCTGTGTTTACTCTAAAACAAGATAAATAAACCGAAATGGAAGGCAAATCCTTTCTTTCTTTCTTTCTTTCTTTCTTTCTTTCTTTCTTTCTTTCTTTCTTTCTTTCTTTCTTTCTTTCTTTCTTGTATTTATTCATTCATTATTCCAGTTATTTGTTTATTTATTTACTTATTTATTTATTTATTGTATTTATTCATTCATTATTCCAGTTATTTGTTTATTTATTTATTAATTTACTTATTTATTTATTGTATTTATTTATTTATTCATTTTTTATTTACTTATTTATTTAATGTATTTATTTATTAATTATGTCATTTATTTAATATATTTTTGTATTTATTTATTCATTCATTCATTTATGTAATATATTTTTGTATTTATTTAATAATTAATTTATTTAGTCATTAATTAATTTATTTAATGTATTCATTTGTTTATTTACATATTTATTTAATGTATTCATTTATTAATACATTTATTTACCTAATATATTTTTGTATTTATTTATTTATTCATTCATTCATTTCTTTATTGAATGTATTAATTTATTTATTTACTTATTTATTTCATTTATTAATTCATTTATTTATTTAATATATTTTGTATTTATGTATTTATTTATTTATTTATTTATTCATTAGTTTATGTATTTATTAATTCATTAATTAATTTATTTTATTCATTTATTTATTTATTTAATATATGTATTTATTTATTAATTCATTTATTTTCAAAGTGAAAAAAATTATATATATTTTTATTATTTTATTTTGTGGCACACTAATAAATGAATGAATGAATAAATATGTAAGGCAAATCATCTTTCTTTCTATTTATTTATTTATTTATTTATTTATATATTTTTATTTAGTAAAATTTTATTTTATTTCAAAGTGAAAGGATTATTTTATGTACCCTATTGCAGATTATTTTGCTTGTTTATGTGTAATTTCTAAGGCACACACATATAAATAAAAAAATAAACCCTAATAATGTAAGACAAATAATCAATCTTTCTTTCTTTTTTATATTTATTTTTTATTTATTTTTTTTATTTTTTAATTTTTTGGGAGGGGGGGGGGGTTGTTTGATGAACAACTTTATTTAAAACAACATTATTTTATTTACCCCATTGCAGATTATTTTGCTTGTTATGTGAGATTTATGTGTCACACATAAATAAATGAATGAATAAATAAATAAATTTATTTATTTATTTGTTTGTTTATTTATTTATTTATTTATTTATTAATAATTAATTAATTTAAGGCAAATCGTTCTATTTTTACTTAATATAATTTCAAAGCAAAAGCAAGATTATTTTATTTACTCCACTGGTAGATCATTTTGATGTTTATGTGAGATTTCTATGAGACACATAAATAAATAAATGAATGAATAAATAAATAAATCCTACTTAATTTAAGGCAAATCATTTTTCATTCTTTCTCTCTTTCTTTCTTTCTTTCTTTCATTCTTTCTCTCTTTCTTTCTTTCTTTCTGTCTTTCTTGCTTTCTGTCTGTCTTATTTTAGGTGTATAGTTTCTGCTATAGTGTGTAGTTAGGAAGTAATTTCTTAAAGGGGCAGTTCACTTAAAAATGAAAACTTCGCTGTAAACTTTAATGAATTCCTTTCTTCTGTTGAACACAATTGTGACATCAATACAAGGAATAAAAATCAGTCAGTGGCTGATTCATTTCCTCCAGCATTCTGCAGAATATCTCCCTTTGTGTTCAGCAGAAGAAAGAAACTCAAACAGGTTTGGAGGGTGAGTAAATGATGACCGGATTTATATTTTTGGATCAGCTGTTGCTTTACAGAGTGCTGAATGATCTTGCTTTCCTACATTCCTCGTTCTCAGTGAACCTGAGGGTAAAACATATTTACAAGGATCCGAGCTCTTCCTCATAATCACAAATAACTGTCACAGCAGACACAAAATAGCTGTGTGTTTTTAATTTACAGTACTGTAGATCATCAGTAAACTCTGACAGCTGCACAGATTAAAGTCCCCTCCTGGTTAACCCTTATTTCTAATGTAATACAGTGTGTTTTATTAAGTGCATGAACAGTGCTAGAGTGATTTCGCTGAGTAGGACATGATCCTGAATCTTCACCCACTGTATGTTGATCCTCATCCAACATTTCAGTCAGCCAATCAGATTTAAGGGAGAGGTTTACAGTTCACCTTAGCTTTAGTCTTATTAGGGTTCGGGTTAGGGTCATGTGCAGGCCCAGACACAATATGCAGACGTTTTGGTAAAAATTTTCAATCATTCATTTTCATTTCAGTTTAGTCCCTTTATTCACCACAGTGGAATGAACCACCAACTTATCCAGCTTAAGTTTTACATAGTGGATGAGCTTCCAGCCACAACCTAATATTGGGAAACACCCATACACACTCACATTCACACATACTCATACAATCGACGTCAACATTAAAAGACCATGCAAACTCCACACAGAAATGCCGACTGACCCAGCCAGGACTTGAACCAGTGACCTTCTTGCTGTGAGGCCACAGTGCTAACCACTGAGCCACTGTTTTTTTTTTTTGTTGTTATTAAAATTTTATTAAAACGCTCACAGATCTTCATACATTTCCACAGACTTTCCACATTGAGTCTATTTATTTGATTATGGAAATGTAAGTAATACATATTTATGCAGTTTATATATTAGTTTTAGTAATATTATTGAATAATATTGAATAATCTTCTGTGTTTTAGTAGAGATATTATATGAGAAGCCTCCATTACTTACCAAACAAGAGGATTTCCATTGTAAATGTTTAAATACAAGATAAAAAGTTATTTATTTGTTCGATGTGTTATGTTTTTAGTTACTATACATGCCAAAAAAAGGATGATTGCTGCTTGTTCAAACTACTTCTTTAAAATGCGCTAAAACAACTCAATTCCTGAGGGTCTTTTTTTGGGACAACTTAATTTTTTAATGTCCAACCCGCCTTAATTTGTAAAAACTAATAAGTAAAATTAATTAATTTTCCCAGTGATGGGTTGCAGCTGGAAGGGCATCCGCTGCGTAATACATGTGAATGATAAGTTTGGATAAAAGCGTCTGCTAAATGACTAAATGTAAATGTAAAGTTGGCGGTTCATTCCTCTCTGGCGACCCCTGATTAATAAAGAAACTAATCCGAAAAGAAAATGAATGAATGAGTAATTCCTTCATATTGTGCTAAAAGGATGGCACAGTGGTTCAATGGTAAGCACTAGGGATGCTCCAATCAATCGGTATCGGCTGATATTTACATTTCACGACTCGATTGGTCCTCGCTGATCTGGCTGATCTCATGACCTGATCGCAAGTGTTTATTTACGAGTTTATAACCAGAGTTATACATCCACATCCCTACAACATGTGAGCAATATTTCCAAATTGCATTGTCAGTCATTTTTCTAACCATTTTTCTGTTTTATCTATTTATTTATTTTTTTGTAAAGCTGCTTCTGACCATTACATGTAGAGTTGAAGCCAGAATTATTCGCCCCTTTGAATTATTTTTCTTTTTAAATATTTCCCAAACGGTGTTGAGCAGATTCAGGAAATGTTCACAGTGTGTCTGATAATATTTTTTCTTCTGGAGAAAGTCTTATTAGTTTTATTTTGGCTAGAATAACAGCAATTCTTAATTTTTTTTAAAGCAATTTTAAGGTAAATATTATTATTTTTTCGATAGTCTCCAGAACAAACCATCATTATACAATAACTTGCCTGATTACCCTAACCTGCCTGGTTACCCTAATTACCCTAGTGAAGCCTTTACATGTCACTTTAAGCTGTATAGAAGTGTCTTGAAGAATATCTAGTCTAATATTATTTACTGTCATCATGACAAAGAGAAAATAAATCAGCTATTAGAGATGAGTTATTAACACTATTATGATTAGAAATGTGTTGAGGAAATCTGCTCTCCGTTAAACAGAAATTGGGGAACAAACTAAATAGGGGGGCGAATAATTCCGACTTCAGCTGTATGTAACATCCTTAATGTATTTACTTAAGTAAGACAAGATCTCACACATAGAGGTAAAATGTGCTAAGTTATATAAAGCATGAAGCAGTAGTTGGTGGTTCATTCCGTTGTGGCGACCCTTGCAGAATAAGTGACTAAGCTGAAGGAAAATGAATTAATTAATGAAATTTTCTCTGGGTTTGGGAATTATTTAAGCTGACTTAACTCAAACATGTCAGGCAACTTGCTGCAGAGCTCAGTTAACATTTAGGTTAAGAGTTGAGTCAACTCAAAAAAATGCTGTGCAGCAAGTTGCCTTGCAGTTTTAAATTGAGCTTTTTTGTGATTCATTTTTTTTCCCCTACATTTATTTATGACTTTAAATGGCATTATAGTGCCTTGATCTTGTATCCAACTACTTTTAACCTTGAAAAGTTCAACAAAAGTTGACTTCTATTGGCACTTTCCTGTTATTTTAGACTTTCAGTCTGTCATGTGTGATAGTGTGCAGTGCTGTATAGTGTGTGTTGGTGTTGTTCATTACTCTAGAGTAGCCTTGTAATAAACACCAGCACATTTACTCTTATTTTACAGACTTATTTCTCTAGATATCATCTCTTATATTATTTCAAACCACTAAAATGTCAGTAAAAGTCTCTTTGTTAAACTGTAGAGTTGATTTTACATCATCAGAAGTGGGCAGATAATGCAATACCACCATAATGCAAGTAACCACCACAAATAAACACTTGTGAATCCCTAAATATGGGAAATATAATGAACAGATATTCTTTCAGTGCAGCTAGATTTAATAAGAAAGCGGTTATTAGATCAGTAGTAGACCGCTACAGGACTCATTTACACTGGGGGCCACTATGCAGTCGGTGACCGAGCTGGAAAAACAGGACATTTGTCTCAGAGTATTGGCTGTGCTGTGACACACGAAGCCTTGAGCACGAGATCAGATCACTCCTGAAATCTGCTGATCATCACCAGAGCAGCTGGATCTGTCCTCCTCGCCTCTTTAATAACTCAGCTCGCTGCTTTCATGTTAAAATTGCCATTTTGTTCTTATAATAATTGTTCTGTCATTTCTGTATTGATTTTTAGGCCCCGGCTGTGCACAAAACAAGCGCAGGAATCATTAACAGATTTAATGCGCAGCACTTCCTGCTCGACAACAGATCATTAACCAGCTTCCCTTAAGAAACAACAGGGAGTTCAATACAGCACCGCTAGCCAGAAATCCTCAAAACACTCTTGCTAAAATGTTATGTTTATGCATAAATATATTATTGTAAAGTGTCATATTGTAAAACAATATCTACAGTGGGGGAAATAAGTAATGAACACGTCACCATTTTTCTCAGAAAACACATTTCTAAAGGTGCTGCTGACTTGATATTTTCCCCAGATGTTGGTAACAGCCAAAGAAATCCATATATGCGAAGAAAACAATATTAATAAGTTTACAAATGAAGCTATGCACAATGAAATGGTTCAGGAAGACAGTATTGAACACACGAAGAAGTGAAAGCCCAGACAGCTGCTGAAAGCCTCTGCCCTTCCTCAGTGTAAATGAAGATCAGCTGCTTCAGTCCAACATCTACATCAGCAGGAGGATGAAGAGGAACCCAGGGTGGACATTTCAGCAGGACAATGATCCAAAACACAGCCGAGGAGACTCTCAGATGCTTCCAGAGAAGGAAAATCAAGCTGTAGAATGGCCAAGCCAATCACCTGAGCCGAATCCAATAGAGAATACAGAATAAAGCTCAGATTTGATAGATGAGACCCACAGAAGCATCAGGATTTTGACCATTTTACAATATTTATAATATTTACAATATGACACAATGGTGCATTAGGTAGCACGGTACTAACCAAAAATTGAGCTTTATTATGTTTCCATCAGGAATCTTCTTCATATTTACCTAATATTCGAATGCTTTTTGGCATATAAAGAAAAAATGGGTCGATTGTTTGACCCATATGGTGTTTGGACTTTTTATGGTTGAGAATCAAATATGTATTAGATAGGGAATGGTCAAAACTTCTTTTTTTTTTACATTTTTGAGCGAGATGCTAACGGTCTAATCTGATTCAATGATTTATGCTAAGCTAAGCTAAAAGTGCTCCATCCAGACCTGGAGATCGGCTGAATGAATTCAAAAATGCTAAAACTCAAATCAATTCAGTCCATCGCCAGGTCTGGCGAGGGAACTTTTAGCATAGCTTAGCATTGATCATTAAATCAGATTAGACCATTAGCATCTTGCTCAAAAATGTTACAAAATATGTATAAAATAGTTTATTTGAATAAACATAATACATAAATACATTTAAATTAATTCATAACATATGTTTAGTATGACATGCTGAATAGGAAAGTGGCGAGTCTGTAATTCTGTAACACTCTGGGCTTTCTTCTGCAGATGGTATTTTCCAGAAACAAAGCGCTCGGATGCCGAGAAGATGTTGATTTCTCAAGAGAACAAGAAGGGAGCTTTTCTAATCAGGAACTGTGAAAGTCAGCCCGGGGAGCTGTCACTCTCAGGTATGTTCACCTGTGCTCACTGTGAAAGTGTTGGGGTGTTTTTAAGTCATATAATAATATTTTTAAAGGCACGGGCCACTTTCTTTTGGAAATTGGCTCATTTTACAGTTAAACAGTTGAGTTTTACCATTTCTGAATCCATTCAGCTGATCTCCGGGTCTGGCCAGAGCACTATTAGCTTAGCTTAGCATAGATCATTGAATCAGATTAGACCATTAGCATCTAGCGTAAACATAAAAAAAGTTTCGATGTTTGTCCTATTTAAAACTTGACTCTTTTGTAGTTAGGTTTGTTACTAAGACCTATGACGAAGGTTGAAAAGCATTGGTCCTGCTGCAGCCGTGGTACAGCAGCTAAGTTCCTTGATTATTAAGCTGAAAGGATAGTTCCTAGCCATATCCATCTAGGAAATATATATTTAAAATTTTCTGTTAGTCTTATTAAACTATGTAACTACGGAAGAGTCGAGCTTTAAATAGCATTTAATAATAACATTAATAATAACTTTTTTTCACACTTTTTGAGCAAGATGCTAATGGTCTAATCCGGTTCAATGATTTATGCTAAGCTAAGCTAAAATTCTCCCCCAGACACGAAGATCAGCTGAATGGATTCAGAAGTGGCAAACAGTATTAATTCCTAATGAATAAAAGAAAAAGTGCTTAAAAATACTGAAAAACTACATTACTAATCAAAAATTGAGCTTTATTATGTTGCCATTAGGAAATTTACAAAAAAGAATCCTATTGGTGTATTTTTGACTTTTAAGACTTTTTTGGTTCAGGATCAAAACTTTTTTGACATTTTTGAGCAAATGCTAACGGTCTAATCTGATTCAATGATTTATGCTAAGCTAAGCTAAAAGTGTTCCCGCCAGACCCGGAGATGGCCTTAATGGATTCAAAAATGTTAAAACTCAATCAAATTCATTCAGTCAGTCTTTGGTCTGGCGGAAGCACTTTTAGCTTAGCTTAGCATAGATCATTGAATCGGATTAGACCATTAGCACCTCGCTCCAAAATGTAAAAAAAAAAAAAAGTTAAATGTTTAAATATATTTTAAAAGATTCATAAAAGGATTAGGAGACTTGTAAAATGAGCCTAATTTTGTCTCGAATCAAATTATGCTAATGTTTTTTGGGATTCGTCACGAGTATGTGCTTGTTAAGTCGTGACTTATGCTGTTTCTGGGTACAAGCCGCTACTCATTTATATTGAGAAAATATTTGTTTATGAACACTTTTTAGTCCTATCACACGTCAAAGTGAATTTCTATACAAAATCATGGCGCACACAGCAGTATCCGGACTTGCTGCATCACAAACACCAGTACTCAGTCACTTTCTGGCCATCTAATATAAGGTCCATGCCTATATGTGGTGTTGGTGGTTGTCGAAAGTACTACATCGCTGTGTAAACGTTCATTATTATCATTTGTTGAGTCTTCCCATATAGTTTGATAGAGCGCTTGGACCTGGAAGCCGCTTCACATGACGTCACACTTAACAAGCGGATGGTGACTCTGCAGATTTGTTTGCAACAAGCTTTTACACTTCTCAGGACTCAAACCTGCCAAACCTGTCGGTCATGGTGACATGATCTATTTTGTCCTGCAGTTTCACACGTTTTCACCATCATCTCTTGTAAGACAGCAGTAAGGTTTCCATAGTTTGTTGGTTTTGTGTTGATTTGCGGTGGTGAGTTGCATTATGGGATGTTGATCTCTGCTCTGTCCACTTCTGATGTTGTAAATTCAACTCTACAGTTTAGTGACTTGAAAATTGAAATAATATAAGCGATGATATCTAATAAGAGTGTAAAATAAGAGTAAATGTGCTGCAGTTTAGTAGTACTAAGGCTTCTCTAATATACAACACCAACACACACTATACAGCACTGCACACTATTACACATGTGCAGGACACACACGCTTACACACTCATCAGTGTTAAAAGTTGTTGGAAAATAGATTTCCCATAATGCAACTCAGAAGAAGAAATAAACTAATAAAAAATAAAAACAATATGAAATAATAGGGAAAACTGCTCATCTACAGATATGTTTTACAGTGTACAGAAGGTTTGGCACTTTTAGAAGGCTGCAGATATAAACAGATATAGTGTCTGCTTAATGTTCTCCCAGTTTCTAAAACCAAAGCAAAATCCCACAGGTTTTCTGATTACGTAAAGGCATATGTTTGTTTATTAATGAAACATACAGGCGATTATAATATTAGCGTTATATTTGTCACATCTATATTATATTTAGGGCATAGCTGCCCTAAAAATGAACATTTACTCTCTCTTTAGCTTTATACCTTCTATCCAACACAACAGAAGATATTTTGAAGAATGCTGAAATCCTGTACCCAAGTGTTTTTCCTGTTATGGAAGTCAATGGTTGCAGGTTTTCAGCATTCTTCAAAATATCTTCCTTTGTGTTCCACTTGAGGGAGAATAAATAGTACATTTTCATTAATGTGTGAACTGTCCCTTTAACACCAGAGCGTTTCCAGGCGGTCATTTACATTTGTTTTACCTTAAACAGACCCGTAGTCAGCCTGGTGAAAAGAGTGATTCGTTTTTCTCAAAAAGTGGACATTTTGGTCAGACTTTACAAAAAGGTTCATTAGTTAATGTTAATTAATGCATTTACTAACAGGAACAATGAACAATGCATTTACTACTGTATTTGTTCATGTTAGTTAGTGTTAGTTAATGAAATGGTGCAATAACTTATGTTAACAAGCATGGACTTGGATGTTAATAATGCATTAGTAAATGTTCAGTTATGATTAATAAATGCTGTACATGTGTTGTTCATGATTAGTTCATGTTAGCATTAACTAATGAAGCTTATTGTGAAGTGTTGCCGACATTTTTGCAATTATACGGCTCATTTTCTATTTAATTATGAAATTTAGATGCTGAATGTTGTGATTTAGCTTGACAGATGGTCAGTAAACCACACTTTTTGCTTATTTTAGCCAAAATAGTGTTCAAATCTATTATAATATGGTCCACTTTTGGTGCTTTGCTCTAATAAAGTGGTCATTTTTTGTTTCAAGAGGGTCCAGAATTTAGAATAAAAGTTGTTAAATGTTTTCTCAACAATACAGTAGTGAAAGAAGACTTCTCTCATACGTCAGATTGTGTGTTTCCCTGCACAGCTGGATGAAAAATATTTGCATTGTTCAAAACTGATTGGCTGAAGTCACACCGAAGCGGCAGCCAGCTGAGGATCCTGCTGGGTCTTAAAACCTTTTCGAGGGGTTATTTTCACTATTTATGATGGCATAGTGGTCAAAATAGGACAAATGAGCTGATGTATGAGACAAATGCTGGACTTTTGTTAGTGAAGGGTGAGTCTTCCAAATCACCTGAACCCCACTCTGGCTACGGGCCTGCTAAATCAGTCAAACTCTGTCCTGGAGGGCCGGCGTCCTGCACAGTTTAGCTCCAACACTAATCAAACACACCTAAACATGCTCATCAGCGTCTTCAAGACCACTAGAAACCTATAAGATTAGAGTTAGAGGTAAACTGTGCAGGATACCAGCCCTCCAGGACTGAGTTTGCTCTGCCCTAAACCGTGGTTAAACATTGAAATAGCCCAGCTGCTGTTTAAGAATGTGAGGTAGCCAAGGCTAGCGGCTGCACTTCCTGATTAGTGACTAGAAAGACAAACAAGTGTTTCCTCATTCCAAAGTCTCTGAGGCATTTACCGTCCGCCTTTATACTGCTCAACACGGCTGACTGCCATTGGATATGGTGAGAGATAAACCTGTGATGCAGACTCAGGTTATGGCAACAGACTAGTGTCGTCAGCTGACATGTGACTGAGAGGAGCTGATTACTAGCTCATTAACAGCAGCGCAGTATAGCCCGAGCCTTCAGACACACACCCTGCATCACAGAGCAGTCTCCGTCTGCATTTAGCGGTATTGTGGCATCATATCAAGAAGGTCTCCGGTTTGAGTCTCAGCTGGGTCAGTTGGTGTTTCTGTGTGGAGTTTGCATGTTCTCCCTGTGTTGGCGTGGGTTTCCTCCGGGTGCTCCCCCTCAGTCCAAACACATGCGCTATAGGGGAACTGATCAACTACACTGGCCATAGTGTGGGTGATTCCCAGTACTGGGTTGCAGCTGGAAGAGCATCCGCTGTGTAAAACATATGCTTGAAAAGTTGATGAATGAATGATTAGCTGGCTTGTAAATGATCCCCAATCTGAAGGAAATGGATTGCATTTTGTTTGTTTATTTGACCTTCATTAACCGTATATCATTATGACCGCTGTGCTGAGTATGTGTGTGTGCTGTCTGTCTGTATTACAGTGCGGGACGATGTAAAAGTCAAGCATTACAAGATCAGAAAGCTGGATAATGGCGGATACTACTTGTCAACGGCACGTAATTTTCCCACGCTGAGGGAACTGGTGGAGCACTACTCCAAACACGAAGATGGCCTCTGCGTCCGTCTGGCAGAACCCTGTAAAAAAGTGAGAAGTCCACTATTACTGTCACGTCTGAAGAGCTGATTCTGTAAATGTTAATGTGTAGTTCACTCCAAATTCACTCAATCTTTCCTCTCCTCAAGTGATTCCAAACCTTCATGAGTGTCTTTCTTCTGTCGAACGCAAAAGAAGATGTTTTGAAGAATGCTGAAAACCTGTAACCATTGACTTCCATTGTAGGAAAAACAAACACTATGAAGGTCAATGGTTACAGGTTTCCAGCTTTCTTCAAAACATCTTTGTGAGAATGAAAACAGCCATCTGGCCACCGGGAAGAACTGATGCGCTTCAGGACCAGCCTGAGAATAAATAGAGCTGAGAGAAAGGAGCTGGAAATCTGAGGAGAGACTGAAGAGAGAGGAGAGAGGGTGAATAAAGCAACTGGTGTTCAGTTCTCCAAACCTGTTTCCACTTGGTCCTCAACCGACTGAGAGATTTGACGATGACATGCCGGGAGCCTTACGCCCCATTCACACCGGGCTTGACTGAGGGCGTGTCTGAAGTTGGGGCTGAAGCGATCGTCATAGCAGCGTCAGCCAATGAAATTCAGCCAGCAATAGTCCACTGTCTAGCTGGGGTATTTGCATACAGCGATCTGATTGGCTGACGCTTCCATCGGCACTTAAAAAGTTGAGCAAGTCCCAACTTCTGCAGCAAGCAACACCTCTGAAGTGGTGCCGATGGATCCACAATGCAGTTTGACAATACCTAACGTCACCCATTAAAAGTGAATGGGAAGCGTTGACACTGAATGGGGCGTTATGGAGGAATCTATCCACCCCTCTATCTTCTGGTGACCGGCTCTTCCAGCTAGCAGAATTGTTTTCCCTCCTGCACGCTCCCACTTTGGTGGATGGTAGCAGGCGTTGGCTCTTGAAGACGTTGGGGACTCCCCCCAGCCTTCTCTCGGCTCTTTTCTGACCAGTGGTGAGTCCCACGTCCCCTGCATCTCCCAACGCTGGGAGCATTGGATCTCTTCATAGCCGCCTCGGTTTCTCCTCAGCTCGGGTAACTCCAGAACACTCACCCCTCCTACTCACCTACTCACCTTTCCCTCTTGGTCCGCTTCCACTTTGCTGGACAGTAGCAGGCTCAGGCTCTTGGCAGACATTGGTGGCTGCCCGGCCTTCTCCTGGGATGGGTCTTGAATCCCACGTCCCCTGCTCTTCCTCATGCTGGAAGATGGCAGCAGGTAGACCTCTTGATTGCTGCCTCGAGCCACCCCGGCACCTTGGGGCAGAGGAGTGGATATCTCCATCGCTCAGTTAACTCCAAAACACAACACGTCCCTCCATCACCTGGGTTTCAGCATCACTGTAATAATGTTAACAGCCACCTGGCCGCCGGGAGGAAGGAGGCAGAGAACCAACACACTTTAAAATAAGTTAATAACACAGTAAACAAAACAAACTGAAGGCAACACTCTCATAATACGTCCAGGCCTAGCACTGGAGTGTCTCCTTCTTTTAGCTTCCAGGGCTCCTCCGTGAGACTCGAGGCAGGTGATGCGTCCAGGTGTCTCTGATTATCTCACGGCATCCGCCCTGTCAACCTCACAGCTCTCGACCGCGCATCACTCGCCACGATCTTCTTTTGCATTCGACAGAAAGATTTAAAACAAACATTCAATGATGACATTATTGAGTTTTGGGTGAACTCTTCCCTGTAACGTCCACTGATATGGTGATGATGATGATGATGATGATGATGATGATGATGATGATGATGATGATGATGATTATTCTGGTGTCTTTTTCTATAATCTAATAATGGTGGATTACACAAACAACAACACACTTTGAATTTGAGTGTACAACTGACCTCTGAAATAGTGTGCAAGAGACAAATTGAAATGTCAATCCAGTACTAATGTGTGTGTGTGTGTGTGTGTGTGTGTGTGTGTGCAGTCAGTGGCTCCAGAGACGCATGGTCTATCCTATAACACTGTGGATCAATGGGAGATCGAGCGTTCCTCTGTGAAGCTCCTGAAGCAGCTGGGAGCAGGGCAGTTTGGCGAGGTGTTTGAAGGCTTATGGAATGACACCACACCGGTCGCTGTCAAAACACTCAAACCAGGTACACACACAAACAGAAGATAGACATATCAACTATTTTACACTTTGTTCATTTCATGGCTAATTTGTACGAATTTGAGTCATATGTAGTTCGTTATTTAAAAGGAGGCGTGGCACCAAACCCTGCCTCCAAAGCCATCCATCAGTGGGGGATGAGCAAATCCTAGTAAACTGTATGCATTAGAACAGGGGATGTCCAAACTCGGTTCTGGAGGGCTGGTTTCCTGCAGATTTAAGCTCCAACTTGCTTCAACACACCTGCAAGGATGTTTCTAGAAAGCCTAGTAAGAGCTTGATTAGCTAGCCCAGGTGTGTCTGATTGGGGTTGGAAGTCAATTTTGCAGGACGCCGGCACTCCAGGACCGAGTTTGGACATGCCTGCATTTGGGTTTGCCTTCATGGCAGAGATTCAACAAGCTGCTGGAAATATTCCTCAGAGATTTTGCTCCATATTGTCATGATAGCATCACACAGTTGCTGCAGATTTGTCGGCTGCACAACCATGATGCCAATCTCCCGTTCCACCACATCCCAAAGCTGCTCTATTGGATTGAGCTCTGGTGACTGTGGAGGCCATTTGAGTACAGTGAACTCATCGTCATGTTCAGCAGTCTGAGATGATTGAGCTTTATGACATGCTGCGTTATCCTGCTGGAAGTAGCCATCAGAAGATGGAGACACTGTGCTCATAAAGGGATGGACATGGTCAGCAGCAATACTCAGGTAGGCTGTGGCGTTGATGCTCAATTGGTACTAATAGACCCAAAGAAAATCTCCCCCACACCATTACACCACCACCACCAGCCTGAACCGCTGATACAAGGCAGGATGATCCATGCTTTCATGCTGTTGAGGGCAAATTGTGAGCCGAGCATCCGAATGTGTCAGCAGAAATGGAGACTCATCAGAGCAGCAACGTTTCTCCAATCTTCTATTGTGCAGTTTTGGTGAGTCTGTGTGAATTGTAGCCTCAGTTTCCTGTTCTTAGCTGACAGGAGCGGCACCCGGTGTGCTCTTCTGCTGCTGTAGCCCATCCGCCTCAAGGTTGGACGTGTTGTGTGTTCAGAGATGCTCTTCTGCAGAGCTCGGTTGTAACGAGTGCTTATTTGAGTTACTGTTGCTGGAACCAGTCTGGCCATTCTCCTCTGACCATCAACAAGGCATTTGCGCCCACAGAACTGCCGCTCACTGGATATTCCCTCTTTTTCAGACCATGCCTGTAGAAATTTGCGTTAACGAGCAGTTGGACAGGTGTACCTAATAAAGTGGCCGGTGATTATATATTTGGCATTGTTACATTTTCAGTAGTACAAGCTATGATCAATATGCTGATTGTATTTATTTTACACTAATATCAGCCCATGCTAATGTTGCGTCATTATACGCTTGTCTTGTTCTCATGTCTCCTCTTTGTGTGGTAGGAAATATGGACCCCAAAGACTTCCTACGGGAAGCTCAGATCATGAAGAAGCTCCGTCACTCCAAACTCATCCAGTTGTATGCGGTCTGCACTCTGGAGGAGCCCATATACATCATCACAGAGCTCATGAGCAACGGAAGTCTACTGGAGTATCTGCAGAGTAAGACACACGTTCACACACGACACAGATCCCAAACATGACGAAACTCATTTTAAAAAAAAAAGTTGGGACAGTGAAGCATTTACCACTTTGCAATGTTACCGTTCCTTTTCACAACACTTAAAAGACGTTCAGGGACTGAAGACTCCATCTGATGAAGTGTTTCAGGCCTATTTTTGTCCCATAATTTCTGCAAACAAGTCTTAAGATGGGCAACAGTACGGGGTCTTCATTGTCGCATTTTGCATTTAAAAATGCACCACGCATTCTCTATTGGAAACAGGTCAGGACTTCAGGCAGGCCGGTCAAGGACTCTGTAATGTGTGCAGAATGTGGTTTTGCCTTGTGTTGTTAAAATATGCATGAGCCTCCCTGAAGAAGAAGGCAGCAGATTGTGCTCCAGAATCTCTCTGCACTTTCAGCATTAATAGTGCATCACAGAAGGGCAAGTTACCTTTGCCAAGGGCACTGACACAACCCCATACCAGGACTTGTTGCTGGTAACAGTCTAGATGATCCTTTTTTTCTTTGGTCCGGAGCTCACAATGTCCGTTTCTCCCCAAAAGCGCCTGAAATACTGATTCATCTGAGCACAGTGCGTGTTTCCACTATGTGATGGTTCATCCCAGATGCCTCTGAGCCCAGAGAAGTCAAGAAGTGGATACTTCTGGACACTGTTAACATATGGCTTCAATTTGGCATAGTGCAGTTTGAACTGGCGTTTGTGGATGTAACTTGTGGTATTTGACAAAGGTTTACCGCAGTACTCCTGAGCTCATGTGGTGATCTGGCTTATAGATGAATGTGGATTCTTGATGCAGCGCCCCCTAAAGGAACAAGATTATGTTGTTCAGCTAACGCTTGCGCCAGTTTATTCATGACAATCTGCATCTGTGTAATGTGATTATTATTAGCAGTATTATTGATTAAATGCAGATTTATATTTGCTTTAATAAACACAAGTGTCGATGTGTCCAGCTGTGGGGTTTGGTGACGTCTGCATCAGCATATGTGGTGTAAGAACAGGACGTGTGTTTGGATATAACTCAGCTTTCTGACCACACGTCATTATTATTGTTCATTTATTCCCCTGCTGGAGATTAGAACTGGATTTAGAAATAGTTTTGACGCAAATCTTTGTGTTTTAACAAAGGAGATTAAATATGTGGGCTAATGGATGTGTTCAGCGGAGTGAGTTTACACCAGTCCTCACTCCACCAAAGTAAAGGAGTAAAGTAAAGGAGTAAAGTAAAGGAGTACAGTAAAGGCGCTGAATGGAGGAGGCTGGTTCTTTACTCTTGTGCTGCAGATGCTCTGTTGAACTGTTTTCTCTCTAGTGAAGCGTTCAGTTTCTACACTTAGAGTGTCACCATGTAAATAGCAAATGCACCATGGAGCGACACAACTGACTATGTGGAAATAGGAAATGAGAGACGAGACTCTGATTGGTTTAATGCAGGTTATGCTCAAAACACAGCCAGAACTCATATAGTGAATCAGCACAGCCCTGTTAGACCATGCACCCGGGCGCAGAGCGTATTATTTAGTCCTTAAAATGGCAAAAGGAAATTCAGACACACCCTTAAAGTGTTTGCACCATGCACTTTAGACTTTGCACAAAAATAGAGCTCTTCAACTTTGTTTGATAAATATTTGTTCTTGAAAACTACCATTTCTGTATTAGAGAGTAACTTCCAGAACTCAAACAACACAATCAGCAGAGGTAACATTTCTGAATATAGTTGACCGCCATGTTTAAACAAATGAAGCTAAATGTTGGTTACACAACAGAGCCACAGTGTTTAGACATTTCTGGGAAATCAACATATCAATGACTTTATTGCCTATGATAAACGACTATGAAGCACTGCTTTTATGGCAGCAGCGGTCGTTTATGGACAGGGAGAAAAGAGGTGGATTGCAGTCATACACCTTATGATAGTGGCCATAATATAAAATATAGAAAACTCCAGAATGCTGTGGTGAAGTAAAAGGCTTATTTTTAACATAATATTTAACCAAAGTAATAATACAAATCATGTTTGTGAACAGGTATCATTGTTGAGCAGGGCAACACAAGGGATCACTGCAAGAAGATCGCTGGTTCGAGTCCCGGGGGAGGGGGGTATTGGAAGCTGGGAGTGGACGAAAGTTGCCCATATTACATTATCTACAATATACAATACAATACAACATATAATAATCACAGATAATGTTCACCAGACTGCTTTGATCCTAATTGTGGTGTTTTGGTGACTGTCACTTTAAATGCAAATGAGATTGTACTCTTTTCAGAAGAAGGCGGAGCTACAGATGCCTGTGTGTCAGCATAGTGGCAGATTCAAAACCAAGACTGACGTCCTATGCTAATGAGGGAGAGATGGTCACTAGTGGGCGGGGCTTTCCCCCTCTGATGATCCGTACAAAGAGAGAATGTCAATCACAGTGTTTCTGCAGACTGATTTAGTCATGTCTGGTTATAAACAAACACTGTTACCATATGTTTACCAGTAGAGGCCAATCATATTCACACACTGCTGACACACAACTGTGTTTAAACCCCTTATAAAAGTGATTTTTGCATAATAGGTGCCCTTTAAAATTAATTTACAAGCAAGCCTGTCTGCAGCCCAATCAATGTGTCTGATATCTGACCTGTTTAGTTGTATGCCTCAGTAATTTTAGTCTCTTTCTCTCTTAAATAGATGACCGAGGTGCAACCCTCCGCATGTCTGATCAGATTGACATGGGAGCCCAGGTGGCCTCAGGCATGGCTTACCTGGAACTGCAGAACTACATCCACAGGGATCTCGCGGCTCGCAATGTTCTAGTGGGGGATAACAATGTGTGTAAGGTGGCGGACTTCGGCCTGGCACGAGTATTTCAGGTGAGATGTATTATTCATTCATTTACTTTTCCTGGGGTTACCACAGCGGAATGAACCGCCAACTAATCCAGCACGTTTTTACGCAGCAGATGCTTTTCATCTCTGGGAAACACCCACACACACTCATGCACACTCATACACTACGGACAATTTAGCCTACCCAATTCCACTATAGCGCATGTGTTTGGACTGTGGGGGAAACCGGAGCACCCGGAGGAAACCCACGCGAACACAGGGAGAACATGCAAACTCCACACAGCGACCTTCTTATTGTGAGGTGACAGCACTACCTACCGCGCCACTGTGTAGCCAGATGTATTATAAATTTGATAAAGCATTTGTGCTGACGTGGTGTAGAGGAGAATCCATGTCATTTTGTCCTGCATACACATACATGGGCCACATCTGTGCCACATGGGAGAAATAAATCAGAGTTTTGCAGAATTTTGGACCATCCAATGTAAACTATGTGGTTATATTGTTAAAATAGAGCCCTGAGGTTTAAGTAAAATGGACTTACCAATACATCTGGTCATGCTAGAGTAAACGCTTCCTATGTTATTACAGTGACATCTAAGGTCAATGTTTAGCTTGGGGTTGTACAATTACCTTAACATAAAGTTATTTTTTTAATCTGAACAGGCATTAATTGCACTCTGGTCACATGAGAGTTAAGCAGAGCAAACATCGGCTTAGCATGTTATACTGTACCTTGACCTGCTGTAAAATTGCCTTGAACTTTGAAGACTTAAACCTGCTATAAATACACATAATGACATCGCTTTTCATTCACTTGCACTCACTTTTTTAGCTAATAGCTTATAGTCTTAGTAAGCCAGCTACTATCTATATATTACTGTATATTTTATATATATATAACCCTTGAAGACAGAAAAATGGCTCCAATGCACAGCAAAAAAATCATTCCTATTTAGGGCTCTATTTTAATAATCTAAGCACAAAGTCTAAAGCTCATGGCACAAAATCATTAAGGGTGTGTCTATATACACTTGCTATTTTAATGATAGATAAATCCTCTCTGGGCATGGGTGCATGGTCTAACAGGGCTGTGCTGATTCTCTTAATGCGTTCTGGCTGTGTTTTGAGCATAACCTGCATTAAACCAATCAGAGTCTCGTCTCTCATTCCCTTTAAGAGTCAGTTGTGTCGCTCCATGGTGCATTTGCTATTTACATGGCGACACTGTAAGTGTAAAAACTGAACGCTTAACTAGCGAGAACACAGTTCAACAGAGCATCTGCAGCACAAGAATAAAGAACGAGCCTCCTCCATTCAGCCTCTTTACTTTACTGCTTTACTTTACTCCTTTACTTTGGTGGAGTGAGGAAACGGTGGAAACTCTCCACTGAACACATCCATTAGCCCAAAATTTTAACCTGTGTTTATTAAAGCAACTATAAATCTGCATCTCTTCAATAATACTGCTTATAATAATCACATTATACATATGGTCATCAATAAACTGAACAAGCCCCCCCGAGGTGAAGAAGGTATGGAGGCAGTGCTGTTTATATTGATGTAGAAAAACATCATTTCTGGATCATTTTAATCCTTTTATTGTTTTAATCTGTAAAGATATGTGTGTGTTACTGTTCATCCTGTGTGTGTTCAGCAGTGTGTAAGTGTTTGGACCTGCATAGATGCATAACTAACAGGCTCTGCTGAACTTTAGAGCAGCTTTTAGTTGGTCAATGGTGCTGTTGGTCTATTTCAGTTCCTCAAAACAGCTGTGCTCCAGCAATGCTCCTTAACACACCTCCTGTATAGAACAGCACACGCATGAGTCCACAGAGTGGCACAAATAGATTTGCTAGTAAAGCAACGTGGCGCAAAACGGGAAAATTAGGGTTGCACTGGTCTGAAAATAGCAGCAAATCCTGCCACATCTCGCATCTTATTGCACCGGATGTATGATAGGACACTTAGAGTTTTTGTTTCGTTTCTAGTCCACATATTTAAAAGCTCTTAAATCTTGAAGCATTTTCTGCACATGCAAAAAACGGTTTTGTTTTCCGAAGTAACGAGTCACAAATTAAGTAAGTTTTTTCTTAATAATCTTTCTATGTGGTGAGTTAAGCAATCTTACTACAAACTTAAAAACAATGTTGTATCACTTACCCCATTGGCAGATTAATTTGCTTGTTTCAAGGTAAAACTCATTCCTTTTTGACTCATTATTTCTGAAAACAAACACATATCTTGCTTGTTTAGGAAATACTACTTGATTTAATATTTGTTTTAGATATTAGTAAATTGCACTATTTATTTATTGTGTTGGAATGAGGGGGTGCTGCCAAATAACCAAACAATCTTCAAGCATTTGTCTTATATGTGGCACTTCATGCATGAGAGGTGTGGCTCTTTTTCCTTTATGATCTGCACTGATCACGTCTGCAAATGTTGATTACAGTGTCTTTTAATAATTACCTAAACACCGCCTGTGGAAAAGGCACAGATTAGTTTTGTCCAATCTGCACTTTTAGTTTGTGTGATTAGTTGCTGAATGCCACATTAATGTGTACAGCAGGCCATTTCTGTTTGCTTCTGTACAGTAAACACAACTTGTTTGTCCGACTGCTACACAAATCCTGTGTACTAAATAAAAACTGCATGTGCTCTTTAGATGGACAATGAGGATAATGTTTACGAGGCCAAAGAAGGAACCAAGTTTCCGGTGAAATGGACTGCTCCCGAGGCCATCAACGAGAACAAGTTCACCATCAAATCTGACGTCTGGTCTTTTGGAATCCTACTGTATGAAATTGTGACGTTTGGACAGACGCCTTACCCAAGTATGTTGTTCTGATATGAGATCACACATAGTGAATATTTTGGCATTGCTTAGGCTATGTTTTGTTGAAATAACACAATCTGCAAGAGAAAACTAGCTGACAGTCATAATGGAGCTCAGGGCTTCATTATGAGAACCGAGAAAATCTGCAATGTTTAAAGCCGTTTTTCACTCTTTCTCCAGCCATGACCAACTTTCAGGTGGTGCAGCAGCTGCCCAAAGGCTACCGGATGTCCTCTCCTCCAAACTGCCACAAATGTTTGTATGACATCATGCTGGATTGCTGGAAGGACGTCCCCGCGGACAGACCCACCTTCGAAACGCTGCAGTGGAAACTGGAGGACTTCTTCGATATGGACATCACCTCTTACGATGACGCAAACCGCTTCGCCAAATAAAAACAGCGTGATTAACTGCAGATGAGCCCTGTGAGGACATTTTAGTGTGACGCAAACCTAGTGCTATAATGTATATAATATACTCAGTGTATTTAACATTGAGCGTTGACTTATGTAAAAAACTGTATTAGTTAAAGCTGAATCATCTAATCGATTGAATGTGAAAATACTTCTGGCATCTGAGCCGATAGCCTAGTGTTTACACCTGGTCATTTAAAGGGGAGCTATTTTGCAAAAATGTGTGTCATGTGTGTCAGCAGTGTGTGAATATATCCAGCACCTAATGGTAAACATATGTTAACAGTGTTTGTTTATAATCAGACTTGACTAAATCAGTCTGCAGAAACACTTTGATTGACATTCTCCGTTTGTACGTGTCATCAGAGGGGGAAAGCCCCGCCCACTAGTCACCATCTCTCCCTCATTAGCATAGGACACTTGTTTTTGAATCTGCTACAATGCTGAAACACAAGCATTTGTAGCTCCGCCCTCTTCTGAAAAGAGCACAATCTCATTTGCATTTAAAGCAACAGTCACCAAAACAAAACAACCACGTGACAGAGATGTTGGTTTTGTTATTTATATATGTATATACACAGTTGGGTCCATAAATATTGGTAAATCGACACAATTCTGACATTTTTGGCTCGATACACCAACACAATGGATTTGAAATTAAGTGCAGACTGTCAGCTTTAATTTGAGGGTATTTACATTCAAATCAGGTGAACGCTGTAGGAATTACAACAGTTTGCATATGTGCCTCCCACTTGTTAAGGGACCAAAAGTAATTGGACAGAATAATAATCATAAAATAAACGTTCACTATTTTAATACTTGGTTGCAAATCCTTTGCAGTCAATTACTTTGAAGTCTGGAACGCAGAGACATCAGCAGATGCTGGGTTCATCCCTGCCAGGCGTCTACTGTGACTCTCTTCAGTTCCAGCGTGTTCTTGGGGCATTTTCCCTTATAAATATTTATGATGATATTCAATTAAATTAGAATGTTGGATTAATATGAAATGGCAGCATTAAAAACAGAGGCATCACACACCTGTAGCCTAGAAAAAGAAACCATTTCATTTGTTTTTGGGGAGTAGGTTAGTGAGCCTTATTGTCTTGCACATGTCGGAAAACGCTAGATGTTTCTTTCAGCCTGTAATGATGGTAATCGTGCGCAAGTGTGCTTGTGACGATGTTTGTGAAGCACAAATCCTCCAGTAGCCTACATAAAGTACATAAAAATTTAAATAAAATACACACTATCTGATGCATAACCTAGTCAAATTTGCTTATAGTGTGCGATTTGAGACCAGAATCATATCCGTTTAGTGGAGACGCATTCATGTGGGCAAATGTACAGGGTTCTCATAAACCAGATAGCTATAAAGTGACTTTTATCATCTCAAGAGCACCAAATTTGGTGAAAATCAGACCAATGGTCTAGGAGGAGTTCAAAACCAAATCAAAATTGCGGATTGGAAATTTAGCAAATTATGGAAAATTTGATATCAATGTATGTGGAATTATCCAAGGAATATATCAACACCGGATGTTTCCCAGAGATGGGTTGCAGCTGGAAGGGCATCCACTGCGTAAAACATATGCTGGATAAGTTAGCGGTTCATTCTGCAACATATCAGCAAAACTAGCCGCTTTTCCAACACAATCTCACAGCAATTCGTAACTTTTTGATTTAGTGGCTAATTCGTATGAATTCGTACGATCTAATTCGTACAATTTAGTACGATTTGCTCATCACCCAATGATGGTTGGGGTTAGGGGTGGGGTTAGGTGCCACGCCTCCTTTTTAAAATCGTACCATTTCGTACGACTGAACTCGTACGAATTCGTACGAATTAGCCACTAAACTGGCAAAACGTAAAATACTTACGTTTTCTCGTGAGATCAGGCTGGCTTTTCATATCACCTGACCACTAGGTGGCACTGTGACGAAACTGTTCAAACTATTTAAAATATAAAAAACTAAACCGTGTGATTTTTTTATATTTGGTGTCAATTTAAATCGAGAAACGCATGAAGTGACCAGGTGTAAACTGGACCAATGAGCCTGCACTTTTAGTGATGCAAATTTAAGTTTTACGAGTTTCAGAGTCTCAGACGGGGACTTGTCGGACTTATCAACTTCTCTCTCCCACTTCACTTCCAGAATCTATACTGTCTTGTCTGTCAATAGAGCCAAAAAAAGAGAGAGGAAAATAAACTTTCATCTCAGATCAACAGGTAATGTGCGAGAATAACACTGGATTAATAATCAGTAGCATTAGCATGTGTTGGACAGTAGTGGGATGAACATTGCTCAGGAACTCTCGATTACAGCTCTGCTTGTCGTTGACAATTCAGAAATCCAGCTTTAGATCAAATAAATGGGCCAAAACGGCTCATTTTGGTGTCTGTATTAAGTTAAATTTACAGAAGTGATTTTATATGCATATAAAGCTTAAAGTGCCTACTGTTTCAAATGACTTTAGTAGAAATCAAATGTAAAAGTATTGGGGGAACTGATGTCCTCATTCAGCGACGTGTGTTTATAAATGTATATTAAAATGAAATGTATTTTTTCCTGTCCTGTACTTTTATGAAAAAAATAAAACAACCAATAAGTGACCATGCACAGCTTTATTGTATTTTAAATGATTAAAAATGTATTGCTGACACAAAGATAACACGTACAGTTAATTAGTATTGTGTGCTACAATGTGCTTGAAGTCTTTAATCAGGAAATAAATCTTGTTTTGCAAATTAAACTATTGGAAGAGGCAGATTAATACATATTAAATATTATATAAATGATAATATAAATATTAAATCAAATGTATTAAACAGGAAACATCAAGCGAAACATTTAAAAAATTTAATGTAATTGAAAACTTGAACCCATGTATTCTGAATATCCAATCAGCTGGAGGCAAAGCTTTATCTGTATATGCCACCATGCATGAATGAACATCCACCAGTAATGTTATGGGGGTTTAGCTTACTTGACCACACAGCTGTCATGCTGGCATTATGAAAGAAAACCTCTGAGGAATAAATGTAGAGGCTGGATGACTTATGAATGTGAAAATGGAGCAGTGTAGCAGGATTGACCAGTTTCATGTTAACTTTAAATAGTGAATGAGTCACAGCTTGTCAGACTGACAGCGTTACCTGTTTAAACGGAAGGAACTAGCTCAGAATCTGCAGCTTTAACACCTGTAACACACTATGAATAGGTGATGTCAAGAGTTTTCAAATTTAAATGTGGATTTCGCATCCTCATTCATCTATGAGTGATATCATGGACTCAGGACTACTTTAGCAAACCTTTGTCAGGTACCACGATATAGTGACATCCACAAATGCCAGTTAAAACTGTACTGTGCCAAGAGGAAGCCCTATGTTAACAGTGTCCAGAAGCACTGTCAACTTCTCTGAGGTATCTGGGATGGACCATCACAGTGGTACATACATAAAAAGTGGTAAATAAAAAAAAAATACAGCCAACAGAGCAGACAGTGTCTAAATATTCAGTGATTTTATTGACTAAATCAGGTAAATAGCAGAATTGGTTATAATATGTATCTCTATATTTTCAACTCTATAACGTGGGTAAGGTCTAGATTGGATACAGATGCACATAATCACATCAATACAGCATCATTTACCTACACTGCAATGATAATTAATATTTTTACATTATTGTGATGGATGGTGTTATGGTTGGCGCTAATAAAATGCAATTTAATGAGTAATTTAATAAATAATATGAATGAAACTTAGTATAATTGCTGTTTTTACATTACTGTGATAGTTTGGATAGAGGTAAACGTTACTGAAACACAATGAACGGGTAATTGAATACTGGAAGTCTCGTTCAATTCCAACCGCAGCTGTATCCCTCATAGCAACAGCCCCGCGAAAGCGTTTGTCCCCTTTGGGTTTCCGTCTGACGTACGCTGGAGTCAGCCTGACGTGTCTTTTGCTTCAGACTGTACTTCTGCTGTTTCGCTGCTGAGATTATCTAGAGTTTATACAGCAGTAAATGCTTTAATATTGCAGGTCTATCATTTTTGCGAGCGAGTGAAATGGCGGCAGACTGGGAGGAAATCAGGCGTTTAGCCGCGGACTTTCAGAGAGCTCAGTTTGCTGAGACTGTCCAAAGGTAAACCATGTTGATGTTGCTGCTGCAGGCTAATAATAATAATACTCATTATTATTATTATTATTATTATTGTTATTATTATAATGATAAAGTAATAACAACAACAACAACAAATGTTGCTTTTCACCCTTCCCTGTTGTTAGTTTGTCTTGAATCACTGTATTGATAAAGTGGCGTAACGTTTTTCTCAATCAACTAATGTGACCACAGTCATTTACTGCTATTTTATTAAGCAATCCAAACCCTGAATAGGCTAAATATGCTTTACATTGATTTTTAGTTGGTTAGGATATAACATTATGTGTTTAATATACAACTATTTGAACATCTGTTGTCTGAGCTGTCAAAATGAAGTGCTTAGCAATGCATGCTACTGACCATAAGTAGTTTTAATACACTTACTTACAGTAGGACATTTTTATAAAGTTATTTATTAAATAACCTATTGAGTTTTAGCATAAAAAGAAAAAAAAATCGACTGTCAATGTATTTTTAGCTATTGCTGAAATATCCTTTCACAAATAGGGATTATTATCTGACATTTAAACATGCATATCTAAACGTATATTTAACATATATATATATATATATATATATATATATATATATATATATATATATATATATATATATATATATATATACAAATGACATTATATTGAAACATCTGGTTATATTTTCCAAACCAACTAACCACAGAGTTAAAGGATGAGAAAAATATCAATCTGTAAGCATGTTTTATTTTTGAAATGAGGAAAATAAACATGCGTTATGGATGTGACCAATTTTTTTACAGTATACAGTTTACAGTATACAGCAAGCTTTGTAGAAAGTAAACTGCTAATCAAATGGATAAGAGTTGGCTCTCTATAGAACAAATATAATGTTTTTATTTTATTTGACATTTTTTTGCATTTATGAGGAAAAAGCTTCATTATGCATGTGACGTCTCTCCGTTATGGATGTGACAGATGTGTAATTGCCTCTTGTGTGATTTTGATAAATCAAATATAATAGGTTGAAATCCTTAACAAAGATATTTTTGAGAATTTTTAAAGTCCTGTAAAATACTTGCTTACACAAAAAACAAACAAACGCAGAAACGGTTTCGATATTTTGGCAACAACCTCATTTTTTTCATGGCAATGTTGACATTTGCATGGAATTGCTCATACACACACACACACACACACACACACACACACACACAGTTGAAGTCAGATTTATTAGCCCCCTGTTTATTTTTTTCCCCCAATTTCTGTTTAACAGTTCAGCACATTTCTAATCATAACAGTGTGAATAACTCATCTCTAATAACTGATTTATTTTCTCTTTGTCATGATGACAGCACATAATATTAGACTTGATATTCTTCAAGACACTTGTATTCAGCTTAAAGTGACATGTAAAGGCTTCACTAGGGTAATTAGTGTAAAGTTAGGGTAATTAGGCAAGTCATTGTATAACAGTGGTTTGTTCTGGAGACAATCCAACACTAATATTGCTGAAGGGGCCAATAATATTGACCTTAAAATGGCTTAAAAAACTGCTTTTATTCTAGCCCAAATAAAACAAATAAGACTTTCTCCAGAAGAACAAATATTATCAGACACACTGTGAACATTTCCTGAATCTGTTCAACATCATTTCGGAAATATTTGACGAAGATACTAAAATTTAAAAGGGGTTAGTAGTTCTGACTTTAAATACTCTAGGGCTGCACAATATATGGTTTCAGCATTGATATCGCAATGTGATACTGCATCTATTGACAGGTTGTCTGAGAGAAACTGCATCGAAATCGTGTCCAAGCTGGTCGGAGATAAGAAGTTAGACGTGGTTCACACTCTGGATGGGAAAGAGTACGTGACTCCAGCCCAGATCAGCCGGGAAATTCGTGATGAGCTCTATATGCACAGAGGTGGGTAAAGCGCACAATAATCTGCTGTATCAGTAACCACATCTATTAAACTCTGGATTAAATATATATTATTTTGTTTTTTTTCTATCTTCTAAGGGAGAATAAATGTGGTGGATCTTCAAAAGGTGGGTTTAATATGAAACATCAACATCCTGTAGTGTTCATTTGCATCTCACTATTGGAGAGAAAATACATTTGCAAAATTATTCACCCCCCTACTGTGAAATTGTAATACTTAAATTTTTTTTAAAACAAATATTTCCCAAGGAAATGTTCACAGTATTTTCTATAATGTTTTTTTTATTCTGGAAAAAGTCTTATTTCTTTCATTTTGGCTCAAATAAAAGCACTTTACACATTTTCCTAAACTATTTTGTAAGATTAATATTATTTAATTGGCTAAAGAACAAATCACTGTCTAATAACTTGCCTAATTAACCTAATTTACTTAGTTAAGACTTTAAATGTCACTTTAAGCTGAATACTAGTGTCTTGAAGAAAATCCTGTCTAATATTATGTGCTGTCATCATGGCAAAGATAAAATAAAATAGCATTCTTTTAATAAATATTGATTTTATGGGAAAATCTACATTAAACGGCACTTAAAAAATATTTTTAAATCATTAACATTTCAGTGGAGGGCTAATAGTTTGACTTCCACCGCATGTATACATGTTCCTAAATATTTCCCACAGATCATCAATGTTGATTTGGTCCACGTGGAGGGCAGAGCCAATGAAATCGCCAAGTCAGACAGAGGCACGCAGCTCATACTGGGTCAGCTGATCGACGAGTAAGCGAAGAACTAATGCCTGTTTTAATGTGTGTGTTTTTTAACCCCTTAAAGGATCCGTTCATGTATCGTGTCTTAAATCAAGTGGAAAGTGTGAAGCACATCTCTTCCTTCTTAAAGTTGTCATTGCTAGTTGACCATCTACTATTTTCTCAGAGGTTGACAAACCCTTGCTGCAGCTCTGATACAAGTGTTATTTACGTAGAAAACTAGAAGGCACTGCAGTGTTTGTTTGCTCTGTGTTTTTCTGAGATAATTAGTCAACCGTTGTTACTAAAATGTGTACATTACTTACAAAGTATGAAGCTGATCGGTCAGTTCTAGTCACAGGACCCTTGATGCACTTGGGGCATTTTGAAAAGTTGTGAAAATGTGAGCACGTCATGCTGCACTGCATGCATTTTGTTTCCTATTTGCATGTGCACCTCCATTGGAAATAAATGAACTTGTGTGGACAAAACACACGATATGAAAGTCACCAAACTCTTGCCCCCACTTTTAAAAAGAATATAGACATGACAAGTTAACAAGTAAAACAAATGCCATGTGCCTTTGTTTATGAAAATAATACAACAAATATATATATATATATTAATATATTGCATAAAATATGTATTTTACCAAAGTTGTTTTGAACTAATATCGAAAGAAAATCAAAACTAAATGTCTCAACAAATTATACTCCAATGTTGAAGTTGATTTAGTGAGTTGTTTGGCCGCAGTAGCAGACATGACCACCAGGTGACAATCAGTTTACATTGGCTACCCTACAATGGCGCCCTCTATGTTTTAAGGAATATGAAACGTAATGTTTCATCCTTTTGACATTATTTGTAAAGTAGACATACAATTCTAAAGTAATATGGCAGTTTAGTTGTAATTTAACTGAATTTAGCTTCTACAAAACATCGTAAAAAAGTTTACATGTGAATTGCTGTAGCAAAGTAATGCTTTACGACTGATGAGTACCATAGTTGCAAATTAATAAATATATGTTGCTCATATCTAAAAATCAGTCACTAGATATGGAAATGAGAGACTTCAAGCTTGCAAATGATGTACAGTTTGTCTTGATTGCTTTGTGTTTAGGCTATAATATTATGGATGTAACCGTAAATGGTCGCACAGGTTGTAGGGTGAGAGTAAATGTGGTTTAATCTATTACTCCTCCAGCGTAACAAAAAACTGTGGTAAAATATGTATTCAGAAGTCTTAAATCTTTTTAAAGATATCTAATTTGTCATGATTAGCTGAGGAGTTCATTGCAAATAAGTGAAGTGAATCTAAGCATCACGTTGGCGAGAAGGTGACCGTTAAGGTGTTTGTTGTAGAGACTTGGGAAAACAATTGGAAACGATTGGTTTCAGACTCAAATGCTGATATAGACTTAATAAGAGACTGATTGTCAGTCTTTAACTGTTGTGTCCTAAATGCTCTGTGTTAAAGAACATACTTGGATCGTCTTGCTGAGGAGGTGAATGATAAACTGCAGGAAGCTGGACAGGTGAACATCGCAGAGCTCTGCAAAACCTATGATCTACCTGGAGATTTTCTGACTGAGGTTAGTACTCTCTGCATGACGCTTTGTTTATTTTTTAGTGTGTGTGTGTGTGTGTGTGTGTGTGTGTGTGTGTGTTTCAAAATCCTTTTTGTTAGTATACATGGTTTGCGCTATATTCATTCTTCCATGGCGGGGTGCCACGACAAAATTCATCCCGCCACGGCTGCATTACAGCTTCTCATTCAAAACATTTTATTATTTTAATAGCGGGTGATAATCGCACCAAAACATATTAAAGGGTAGGTGAATTATAATAGCGCATACTTTTCTGTAATTAAAGTAGTGCTGTGCGTCATTTGTTTACCCTTTAAGGTGACGTGCTGACTGAGTGACCGGCTGACAGGTGCGTGAGGCCAGCAAACACGACGTACAGCCGTTTCACTTTACTTCAGGACGCATTAATGCTACTGTGTAGGACTATTGGAGACATTCATAAACATTCCTAGCAAATCTAATAAATCCTGGAGACATACTCGTTACATAAACGCACTAAATCGCACCCAGCAGCGTTTGTTTGAGAGCGCACATGAAAATCTGCACACTCTTGAAGCGGCTTATATTTGAGGTGGCGTGCAAAACCTCTTGTGCACGAGCAGAGGAAATCGGCGCAAGCACAGAGATTCGCATGCATGTTGGCTATGCGATCCCGACTCCTAATACTGCGCTCACGACACTTGACATTGAAATAATAACGCCACAGGTAGTCGGTAGATCTGTGTAAAAAAAGGCCTGCCGCCACAGCTGGAAAACATCCCAGAGGAAACACTGGTATATATCACCTACAGTACATTATATTACATTTACATTAATAATTTACATTATATTACAAACATCAATCTCTGAACTAGTGTTGTACACGATTCAGAACTACTTTTAGGCGCAGCGTAATATCATTGCTCCCGCTGCAGCCAATCGGACAGCAGCAAAGTTTCTTGATTATTACACTGGAAGGAGAGTTTAGTTTCAAGCCATATTAACCTAAAAAATAGCATCTTTTCATTTTCTGTTACTCTTATTATATGATGCAGCTACAGGCTTTAATTAGCTTTAAAATTACCAAAGCTTTGGTCTGGATTTTTGGAAGAGATGCTAAAGGTCTAATCGGGTTTAAGTTTAATTGCTTTCGCCACACTCTGAGATATGAACATGTCAAATGATATCTGTATGTGACTTCTGTTCATCAATATAGTTTAGGTATCATTACTAGCGTGATTAAAAGATGATTATGCTGGAGTTTCACTGTGTTAGGCGCTGAATGCGAGGCTGGGCAGAATAATCCAGGGGCAGCTAGACCAGTACAACAGAGGCATGATCTTCACGCAGGCTTTCCTCTCCAGACACAAAGCCTGCATATGCGGTCTGTTCAGCGGCATCACCAGGTAAGCAGCTCCAGTGCAGTCAGTGCTGGGTGATTCAACCGCAAACGCAACTGAGCAAAGCTGCGATTGTCATGCACGTCTTCTCAATGAAGCGCCGTGTGATTTGTAGTGAATGAACTTGTGCAGATACACATGAAGAAACCCTAGACACCTGTGTGGAGAATATCGGTCGCTGAGGAAACAGAAGCTTTAATTGTTTTTGTTGATTGGGCGTGACTAATAAACACGCGACTACAGTATAAACTCACAGAAGGATTTATTTCAGACACTTGACTTTAGTTATGAGGTGAGTTTGAAGTTAAGACATGTTGTTATATGTTGTATTTTCACATGCAGTTTTTGCTACAGCTGGAATTCATTAAGTAAAGACAGCTGTCTTTATCGCAGAACGATTTTCCCGATGCCATTATTGACAGACTAAACTGAATTCTTATTTAAGTCAAATTTTTTTTGCATAGTTTATCAAATCTTATCAGTAAACTCTGCTCCATCTAAACCAGAGATGCCCAAAGTAGGGCAAAATTGACATAAATTAAATACATTTATAAATAAAAAATGTAAGAAGTTTCCCAGAGATGGGTTGCGGCTGGAAGGGCATCCGCTGCGTAAAAACTTGCTCGATAAGTTGGCGGTTCATTCCGCTGTGGCGACCCCAGATTAATAAAGGGACTAAGCAGACAAGAAAATGAATGAATGATTGAATTTTGAGCACTGTGGATTAGTATCAGCTGTGATTTCCATCCACAGGCCTACGCAGATCAACAACTTGCTAAACCTCTATGGCTTTCAGGAGAATCTGGTGTACTGTAAGTATTGTCCACAGTTCATGTGTGTGCGTTCTGCATATAGACCGCTGATGCTTGCTCTTTCTTGGTTATCAGCGATGCTTGAGGAGCTGGTGAACAGCGCTCGTCTGAAGGGCTGCGTGGTTGGAGGCAGGCAGGATAAAGCCATCTACATCCCTGACATCTACTCCAAAGCCCAGAGCACTTGGGTTGAGTCGTTTCTCAAGCAAAACGGATATTTAGGTGGGTTCATCTTCAGCAAAGCCAATACTGATACTGCATTATGAGACCACATGAATTTGATTTTAAATGGGAGCTATTCTGCAGAAATCACGTTTATAAGGGGTTTAAGCACAGGTTTGTGTGAGCAGTGTGTGAATATATCAGCTTCTAATGGTAAACATATATTAATATTATTTGTTTATAATCAGACTTGATAGAATCAGTCTGCAGAAACACTTTGATTGACATTCTCCCTTTGCACGTGTCATCAGAGGGGGAAAGCCCCGCCCACTGGTGACAATCTCTCCCTCATTAGCATAGGACGTCAGTCTTGTTTCTGAATCTGCCACTATGCTGATGCACATGCATTTATAGCTCCGCCCTCTTCAGAAAAGAGCTCAATCTCATTTGCATTTAAAGCGACAGTCACCAAAACACCACAATTCAGACCAAAGCCTGAAAGGGTGAGTTTAGGAGAGCTGGAGAACATTATTAATGTGGTATATTCAGCTGAAACCAAAAATAAGATTATTTTATTTACCCCATTGGCAGATTATTTAGCTTGTTTAAAGGAAATTACACTTCTGTAAACAATACCAATATATGTTTTGCTTGTCTAGATAATGCTTCCGGATTCAAGAATTTGTAGGTATTTGGACTAGAAACAGGAAAAAAACTGTAAGAAAAGCATCATTGCAGTGTAGGGGAAGTGTTTTGTCCAGTCACACGTGGCTTCAGATCTCGCTAAAATGACAGTCAACAATTTCACATTGGTTTTTGCTCAAATACAACAGAGATATTGCACGGTAGCAGGCCAAATCTAGTCTAGTCTGCTCTGAACATGCTCTGATTGCTTTATTGATTGTGTCCCAGCTCACAGCATTTGTATGGATATTGACTTTGGTGTTTTTTTTCCAAAACTGTCTAACTAGAACTGATATTCTAGTTTTATTTGATGTTTATTCAGATTATTGGGAGTTTGCCTCCAACTTTGCTTCCTGTCAACACCTCTACCGATGTCAAAATAAAGGCTAAAAATGAGTCTTCATAATGTCACGTTTCTCATCTCCTGCAGAGTTTGAGTCACTGACCCGTCTGGGCATCCCTGATCCCATCAACTACATAAAGAAGCGCTTCAAGTCCAGCAGATTGCTCTTCCTCAAGACCGCATGTGTGGGCAGAACCATTGTAGATCAGCTGGAGGCCTCAGTGGAGGAGGCCATCAACTCTGCCACTTGGGTCGACTTGCAGGTAGACCATAGTTTTACATTTATATACAGATTGAAGTCCGGATTAAATTGTGAATCTTCTTCAAATATTTCCTAAATGATGTTGAACAGATTCAGGAGTTGTTGACAGTATTTCCTCTAATATTTGTTCTTCTGGAGAAAGTCTGATTTGTTTTATTTGGGCTAGAATAAAAGCAGTTTTAAAGTCATATTAAGCTCAATATTATTCGCCTCTTCAGCAATATTAGTGTTGGATTGTCTCCAGAACAAACCACTGTTATACAATGACTTGCCTAATTACCCTAACTTTACCCTAATTACCCTAGTGAAGCCTTTACATGTCACTTTAAGCTGAATACTGATAAGTCTTGTGCTGAGATGTTATTAAACTGAACTCTGATTCCTGAATATATTGGTTTTTGTTCAGCCGATGCTCCCGAGCATTCTGTCGGAGGAGGATGTGGGAATTCTGCTGAATGAAGTGCTGCGGAGCATGAATGTGCAGTCCAGCGCACGGCTTCTCTCCACGTCTGTCGTCAGCGAAAAGTTCATCGCTGGATGCATCGCTTTATTCGAGGATCTCATGCAGCAGAAAGCCCAGAAGGTGCGTGAGCTTCTCCTGCAGCTGTTTCCCGCACACGTCATATTCAAGGGGTAGTTCACCTGTTTGACACAAAGGAAGATATTTTGAAGAATGTTCTCGGAAACTTCTATGGTAGAATAAACCAATACTATGGAAGTCAATGGTTACAGGTTTCCAACATTCTTCAAAATATCTTCTATTGTGTTCAACAGAATAATGAAATGTACAGTGGGTGCAGAACGTATTCAGATCCTCTTAAATGTTTGACTCTTGGTTATATTGCCGTCCTCATTACTGATACTATTAAATCTATTATGATTAGAAATGTGTTAATCTTCTCTGCGATAAACAGAAATTGGGGGGAAAAATAAACAGGGGGATTGTGACTTCACGATTGTCATTCCTTTATTCTCTTCATCAACAGGAGGTGAAGAATAACCCTGTGTTTTTGATAACCGAGGACGACGTCAAGCAATCGTCCGCTTTGTTGGAGACTTCAGCCTCTTCGAAGAAAGACAAAAGAGATGAACGCCGGAAGAAAGCTGCGGGTGAGGAGATAATAAATCAATAATCTGACTTTAGTCCTACTAGTTTGATTAGCAGCTATCTGTGTGTTAAGATGACAAAGTTGAGCAGATAAATTTATAGGAAATTTGATTTCCTGCAGGAGGATCTAAAACTTCTGTAACACTTTACAAAATGAGAGGCGAAGTAAATGCATTTGCTAACATGAACAAACAACGATTAACATGTTTATTAAAGAGTTTAATGCTATTACAGTTGTTACTCACAGTGCATTAACTAATGTTATTACACTGCTATCTGGAATACTCGCTTCTGGTTACTCAGTTGTGACATTCCTAGCTATGTTATTTCCAGATAACAACCTTTAAATAACGCAGGCTCACTTCAAATCACCTTGATCTTCAGTGAATACATTCACATCCACATTCATATGTGTCTGCTTGCCTGTTATGCTGCATTTTTGACTGTTTGGCGCTGTCTTATGAATAAATAAGAGGTGGGTTAGTGTATGCTCCGCTCAGCCGGTTTCGTTTCTGTCAGCTTTGTGTTTAATAAAGAATTGATTACAAGCTCTGGACAGTGTTTTGTGTCTGAGATTTACATCGCTGTGTAATAAGCAGGATAAAGTACACCACCTGACACTAGTCTTGTGGTGGATCCCAGTTGTAAGAGCAACACATAATAACTCAACCTCTAGTTGATCATTTGGAAAAGTGTGAAGGTGGATTTTTCCCATGAGTCATCTGTTCAACTGCATCCCAATCATCACAGAAACTGCAGTAGACCTCATGGTTTGGGGTTACATTTAGTATAGGGCTACAGAAAAAAAGATCAACTGAACTGAATGGCTCTGATGAACCTGTCAGGCTTTATTATGCAATAACAGCCTCCGGGATGTGCTTGATTTCTTCATCATACACAAGCATTGCTCATTGTTTGTTCAGTACATTAACTACGTGTGCCGTATGGTAAAGTGTCACCATGAGTTTTATAACAGACCTTTTCATTTCACGGCTGGTGCTCTTCTGTTTTTCAGAGGGCGGTGGAAGTGTGAAAAGTGGAGGAGGAGGAAACGCCAGAGAGATCCGAATCCGCAAAACAAAGAAGAAGGGCAGGAAGGAGGAGGACAGCGATGAGGAGACGACGCACAGCTCACAGGGTATGATGAACCGGAGATTGTAATTCAGTAATTTATAGTATAAAACTTATCAAGTAAAGTTGAAGTCAGAATTATTAGCCCTCGTGAATTATTTGCCCCCCCCGTAGATTGTTCCCCCAATTTCTGTTAAATAGAGAGCAGATTTACATTTCTAATCATAATAGTGTGAATAAGTCATCTCTAATAACTAATTTATTTTCTTTTTGTCATGATGACAGCACATACAATTAGATTAGATATTCTTCAAGACACTAGTATTCAGCTTAAAGTGACATGTAAAGGCTTCACTAGGGTAATTAGGGTAAAGTTAGGGTAATTAGGCAAGTCATTGTATAACAGTGGTTTGTTCTGGAGACAATCCAACATTAATATTGCTGAAGGGGCGAATAATATTGACCTTAAAATGGCTTTAAAACAATTAAAACTGCTTTTATTCTAGCCTAAATAAAACTAATAAGACTTTCTCCAGAAGAACAAATATTAGAGGAAATACTGTCAACAACTCCTGAATCTGTTCAACATATAATAATTGTTGAATATTAAAAAATATGAATATTTGTTTTAATATTAGCACTGCATAAGGGTTTATGCATTTTAAAATCGCAGTTTAATGCGATTAGTCGACTGTGTTCAGCACAAGACAGAGAGAAACGCCCACCACGACTATGAATCAGCAGCCAGAGAGTATGTGAGAGCCCAATGCAGGAATACAATAAATCAATGCAGTTAAAGAACGCATGTTACTCTACACTTAACCCGAACCCCAAGTTATAACAACGACACACATTCAGTATTAATCCACACAGTGGCAAAGGTTGAACTACTTATAAAATCGACTGCACCGCGTATGTGTAGGAGCAGCTGAAGGTGGCCATAGCAAAGGCAAACAGCAGAGGATCGCGAGTTCAGAAACACATTTAAATCGGTAACGGAAGAAGCATGCGTCACGTTTTTAACATGGTTTTGGAAGCAATATGGGAACAGCCCCATACTGATTTAACCTGAGAGATACAGTACAAGCACTGATCTATAATAGATATGTGGCAGAATAGTGAGGGTGGCGTCCGCGAACCCCCTGGTCCTCACTTTCATCCGCTTTATAATCCACACAGTGGCAAAAGTTGATCTATTTTCAAAAACCCATAACAGGCGCTCTTTAACCCGGACTACAATTCATCCACTACAATCTGGACTACAAAGTCACTAAATGAACTACATCTCCCGTCATGCAACTCACACACACCTGTTCCGGTTCTCTGATGATTACACACACACAGCTGGGAGCTGATGACAGACTATATACACTGCTCAGCTTCACACACACTTTGTGGAGTCTTGTTTTGCCTAGCGGACATTACAACGTGTTTTCCTGTTTGTCTTGCCGTGTTTTGATCCTCGTCTGTTTTTCATTTTGATTCTTTGCTGCCTAGCCTGACCTTTTGCCTGTATTTTGATGACGCTTTTTGGAATATTATATGCTACTGTTTGCCCTGTTTTTGACCATCAGGACTTCTCTTTAAATAAACTGCACGTGGCTCCTCATCTCTGTTGTCAGCATCTGTACATTACAGTTCATTTAAAGCTCAAATTTGCTGTGTATCTCCAGCCAAGTGTTATTTAGAAGGTGAATAACCCCAATAGCTCTTTTGGTTGCAAAGATCTCTCTAGTGCTGAAGTAAAAACCCTCATATCGAGACCTGAGTTTAATTATTATTGGTGGAGTTTGTGTTTATTTACCTTTATATGGCATTAGGACTTATGCAAAATGACTTTGTTTTTGTACAGGTCGAAATAAGCTGGGAGACGTGCAGTTCCTCTCAGTGGAGGAGATCGTGGAGGTGCTGGAGGAAAAAGTGAGTGACAGCTCTGAGGAGATGCTGCAGGAGCTGGCAGAACAGCTACAAAGGTGCGCACCATCAGATTGAAGTTACCTGGCACTGAAAGTTCCCACAGGCCATGGGATGTCTGGGATATCAGGGAGTTTTAAAAGCTCCATCCGCTTGTTAAGTGACATATGAGTAATGTTTCTGGGTCAAAGCCGCTGCTCAGTTGAGTTGAGAATATATTGGTATATGACCAGTTTTTAGTCTTCTCACACATCAGGGGTCCGTTCTTCTTACCTCGCTTAAATGATCTAAGATGATTTGGCCTGGATCTTTTCATCTTGATAACTGATCTGTGGCTAATTTGGTTCTTCAAACAAGTTCGCGAATCAGATTAGAATGTCTGAATAAACTGATCTGAGATCGCTGTGTGTGTTGTGAAGGACAGATCTATCCATCCTCCAAATCATGATCAGCAATGCAGCGATTGGCTGACGGCACAGCAGCGTAATGACATCATCTGATTAATATTCAATTATCCATGTGTGCTAAATTACATCAAATTAGCAGTAAACCGTTTGGTAAATATGACACGCAATAACCTTCCACATTTGTTGTGAGCTGCAGGCTTTCCACTTTTATGTGTCGAGAGTATTCATCATGTATTTCAATGCAAATCAATGTATTTAGTTCCACATTTAGAGAAGATTTTCTTTATTATAGAAGCCGTTTTTTAATCGGTGTAAAGAATAGCTGGATGTTTACAAAAGCATTTTTTATATTGGTAAAGGCTTCTGCAACTTTAGTGAAGGATTAAATCACCGGCATATTAACTGTCAAAACATGTTCATGACTGCATTAATGTATTATTGCTTTAAAAAAGTCACATATTGTGCATTTCTATTATATACAAATTGTTCTAAAGCGATCTAAAAAGTTCATATCAATAAGTTTTCTCTTTGCACCACCAGGTGGCAGTCTTTGTACTTTCATTTCGGAGTGCAGATTGCAAGTTTTATTGATATATATATATATATTTTAACTTGTATATATAAAAATAGTTAAAAATAGTCACTATTTTCCAAGTGCATATAACTACTACTGTAAGAAAATATCAGCATTCGGTACATACTTTCAGTATTTTCTTTGCATGAACTGAGCTGATCTGATCCTGTTTATATGAATTGAGCCTGCTGCCGAGCAGGTTTGAGCTAGCAGATCTGTTGCTATGACAACAACTCTCGGATCAGCTTTGAAGAACGAAACGATCCTGGATCATGTCAAATCGTCAACATCCAAATCCAGCTAACTGAGTAATCCACGTACGAAGAACGGACCCCAGGGATGTTTTTAATAGAATCATGGTGTACACAACAGTCTCTGGACTTGCTGTATCACAGACACCACACCAGACCACACGCCTTAGGTAAACAGCTTTTGGTGGCTCCATAAAAATAAATCCCGTTTTCAGCAAGTGGATGTTATTCATGTTATACAAATCATCATCAAAATGAAAATACTTTGTAATTATCCAAATTTTCACACCAAACTCTTCTCTTTTTGCTCTTTAATCAAACTTTGCTTTGGATCAAATCAGCCAAACTTTGCCAAATAAATTTGTAGATCCTTAATGTGTCTTCTTTGTTTTTGCCAGGCCTTTGAGTAAAATGTACCAAGAAGTGGTCACTACAGCCTTCCTGTCGACAAGTTCCAGCGGAGCAGGAGGCAGTCGCAAGAAAAACATGAAGGATCTTCAGGAGGAGATCAACAACTTGTACAACAACATCCGCCTCTTTGAGAAAGGAACCAAACTCTTCTCAGGTTGGTTTATTGGTCACACTTAACAACGAGCTTCTATTAGTTAAAGTATTTACTATCATCAGCAAAGAGCAAACACTGCATTAATTACAGTATTCATTCTTCTTTGTTAACGTTAGTTAATGGAAATAAACAGATTCATTATTAACTCTCATTAGCTAATGTTCATTTGGATGTTGATTTGTCTCTGCACACCAGATGAAACGCAGGCTACGGTCACCAAGCATGTATTGAAGACGGTGTGCACAGACGTGACCAATGTGCTGCTGAGCTTTGTGGCAGCTGAGCATATGACCTCCGACAGCTCGGCAGCCATGACCAGCGAGGTATGAACAACTGACGCTCTATAACCTCTGTCAAGATACCATTGAGCAACATTTACAGCACATTTAACCTCTGTAGTATGATGCATATCACAGTAAAACACAGTATGATGCTCTATAACCTCTGTTAAGATGGAATTAAACCACATTCACAGCACATTTAACCCCTGTAATCTGAAAAAATGGTCAAAAACCAAACCTTTGTGTGAATTAGACTGAACGCAACCCCAGAATTAGAGGAAAAGACTGAAAATGTGTTCAGTAATTTGATAAAACCTGAGTAATCGTGTTGTTTCTGTGCTGCAGATCCGGCTGAAGATCTTGGCCAAGCTGTCAGATGAAGTCAGATCTCCTCTGATGAAGCTGCACAACAGCCTCAATGGAAAGGTGCGTCTAAAGAGCAAATCTCAGGCGTTTTCTGGCCTCCAGCTTGTCAAATTCCAGTTCACGCGTCTGTCTTTTGCCCTGTTGTACTCATCTTCAGTCATTTCTTTATACTTTACAACATGCTTCAGATCAGATCAGCTGTCAGACTCAGTAAATCAAAGCATTCCCGCCCCTGTTTCCATGCAGGCCATCGAGGAGTTTCTGTCATGTCTGGAGACGAGTGCCGAGGAGTGTGGGCTCTTCCTGAAAAAAGGCGACAAGAAGAGAGAAAGGTAAATCCACTGATCACTAAAGTGTCGGAGAGCCCCTGTGGTGCCTGCATTCATCAGGACAGCACTTCTGTGTTTTACACAAACTGCACTGATTCACACCTCAAATGTTCATATCTAGTTATTCATTACTAACATTTACGTGTTAGAAAATAAACATGGGGTAGCACGATCGCCTTACAGCAAGAAGGTTCCTGGTCCCGGCTGGGTCAGTTGGTGTTTCTGTATGGAGTGTGCATGTTCTCCCCGTGTTGGCATGGGTTTCCTCCGGGGGCTCCGGTTTCCCCCACAGTCCAAACACATGCGCTATAGGGGAACTGATCAACTAAAATGTCCATAGTGTATATGTGTGTGTGTGTGTGTGTGTGAATGAGTCTGCATGGGTGTTTCCCAGTACTGGGTTGCAGCTGGAAGGGCATCTGCTGCATGAAACATATCGTCACCTTAGAATTATATGGTTCTATCTGACATTTTTGTCATAACTGAGTTATGGACATATTTATTTTAAATGACAGCTTATTTACATCATGTGATGTTTTTAACATAAGTTTTTACATTTGAAGACTTTTTATTTATGTTTCTCTACAAAGATGAACTGTAGCTTGACTCTATAAAGCCAATCAGCATTTTTAATGAATGCACGCAGCATGAGGACCAATCAGGATCAGCTTGCCGGACCAGAAAGACAAAAATCACGCAAAGTCAGAGTCGGTTAAATAATGCAGCACCACACAGAACTGAGATGTGTGTAAACGGGATGATTTAGAAGCATTTTTTGACATTGAGATGAAATGTTCAATTTTAAATTGTTTTTTTTTTTAGATTAAATTTTTGGCCTTTTTGCCTTTATTAGATAGGACAGTATTGAGACAGGAAGCGAAGTGGGAGAGACAGAGGGGGTAGGGTAATGTCCTCGAGCCGGGATTCGAACTCGTGACGCCCTGACGTGCTATTGCACCATATGTCAGCGCGCTAACCACTAGGCTATTGCACCGACAATTTTTAATTGTTGAAAAAGAAACAAATATTTGAAAACATTCTGTATTACATGTGAAATATTTTTATTTGTATATATATATATATATATATATATATATATATATTTTTTTTTTTATATATAGTTAGTAAAACTATCAGTATTTCAGTGTTTATTAAACTCATTTGATCACTGTCTATTTTATTTTAAAGTCTTTAAATGCAATATTAAGCCTTGAAGGGCAAATACTTAATTTAATTAATTGGACATAATTCAATAAATCTAATTCAATAATTCATATAAAGCATAAAATTTTGTAAATATTAACAAATGAATTATATAAAATACCATCTGCACTGAACAAAATATTTAGCACAGTCCTGTATGCTTAATTTGAACAAGAGAAAATATTCATCCTACAACATGAAATAAAGCAAAAAAAATTTACTTTCTCAAGCATCAACATATCACAACACCAGTTTATATATTTGTGTATTGTATTTCTTGAAAAGTAAAGCTTTAATGAATGATCCGCCAGACAGAACCTTATAATTCATTTAATGCATTTAGCGTGGTTTATTCACTCCAATGTGAGAGAACGTTGATAATTTACATTTACAGCACATTTAGGGTCTGTCATGTTGATGTATGAAAAGAACTGTTACACACATACTGTTTGCTATTGAGCTTATTCTAAAATGCGGAAATGCGTCTGTTTTCACGATTGTTTTAGAACTTCCGATTCAGTGAAAGAAATGACTAGGAATAATAAATGGCAGAAAACGGTCAAACTACTTGCTCTACAAACAAATGTTTGCATGACTGTACAGACCAAGTAGAATAATATAATAAGACAATATCAAAATGCAGCATCAAACAGCAAAGCGAGCAGTTTTTAATGTCTAAACATGAATGGAAGTGAATGAGACTGGAAGTCTCAAGCCAAAAAGATTGAAATGGCAGCGCCCGCTCGTTGGCAAAGAATAAGGTGAATATGGAATGCAAAAACCTCAAATCTCAATATCTTAAAATCATTTAGAACGCAGAGAGAAGCTTTTAATTCCAAGGTGGCGGTATGCTGGATAAGTTGGCAGCCTCTGATTAATAAAGGGACTGAGCCGAAAAGAAATGTAATGAATGAAAATGAACATGTCAGCTTAGCAGATGTCCACATATAGATTATTGCAGACTTTAGTCAAATATTTTACTCATGGAGAATAACATGGCTCTTATCGAGTCCTTGTAAGACGAGTTAAATGAAGGTGTTCGATGCATATGGAGATGAGTGTTTCTACAGGTGGTTTGTCAAACCCTCTCACCTCTGTGAGGCGCTCTCAGAAATGCACAGTGTTTTTCTAGAGATTTCGAGTGATTGTCAGAAAGTGTCTGTTGTATAGAAAGATGATGCTCTCTACCTGTGTGAGAACCGCTGACATGCATACTAGGAAAAGCAAATGCTATGGAGGACAGTGGTTGCAGGTTTCCAGCTGTCTTCAAAATACCTTCTTTTGTGTTCAACATGTGAAGAGAGGTAAAGGATGACAGATTTTTCTATTTTTGGTTGAACTATCTCTTTAAAGGGTCATGAAAGCCCCCTCTTTCAGTTCAAGCCTACCTCAGATTTTGTTTCAAGCAGTGCTCCATGATGGGCGTGGAGCTCAGAGAGCAGAGGGAGGAGTGGGCGTGGCCGGCATGAGACACAAACTGTGAGGAGACGCATGACTTTATAGCTTACAGAGTAAAAATGCAAAGAAATAAGCAGTCATTTTTTATGTTATTATTATTTTAAAATATTTATTTTTGGCCTAGTTGCGTTTATTAGATAGGACAGTATTAGACAGCACAGTAAGTGAAGTGAGAGAGAGCCGGGATTTGAACTAAGGACGCCCTGACATGCTACTGCACCACAAGTCGGCGCTAACCACTAGGCTATTGCGCCGTCAATAAACAGTACTTTAATGCCCTGCTACAGTTGTTATTGGTAATGTTCTATAAACATTTCCACAACTGATATCATTATAAAGATAATTGTGTTCATATAAACATCATAAATAAGGAGGACTTCTCTCCTCCTCAATCTCCCGGTCTGAATGCAGACTCAGTGGACAGCAGAAATTAGCTGACAAAAGCTCAAAGTTTTCCCCACAATTAAAGTTGACAGGTGCTTATGCTGTCTGAACTGATGCTCAACACACACACACACACACACACACACACACACACACACACACACACACACACACACACACACACACACACACACACACATCTGTTTAAATTTCAAAAACAGCACTCATGTTTTGTGTTGTTTTATTAATGTGTGTGTGTGTGTGTGTGTGTGTGTGTGTGTGTGTGTGTGTGTGTGTGTGTGTGTGTGTGTGTGTGTGTGTGTGTGTGTGTGTGTGTGTGTTTGTGTAGGCAGGCTCTCTTCGTGCACCGTCAGGCTCTGTGTGAGCAGTTGAGGGATGCGGAGGATCCTGCACTGGTGCTCCATCTGACCAGCGTCCTGCTCTTCCAGAACGTCACACACTGCATGCTGCACGCTCCGGGGCGCTGTGTGCCGCACATCATCGGCTTCCTGCAGAGCAAGATTCCCGAGGTACCTCAAGGCACTTTAAAATATTGTCTTGTTCGTTTGAGGGCAAAGAGAAGTTGGAAAAGTGGTGCTGGACGCCTGAAGATGGACTGGGTTGTTCTGAAACAGTGTTACAGGGTTTGAAACACACTTGCGGTGGTAGCCGGAGTAAAACACATCACATAGTTAGCTATATTTGACAAACAAAACATAATTTGATTATTACAAATATTTTTATTTATTAATAAACTGTTATAAACTGTTTCTTTTCAATAGGTTAAACTTAAAAAAAAGACTTGAAATAAATAAAGGAATCCACTATTCCAGAGCCATGTGCACACACTGACAGGTCAAATCTGCTTCTCTCTCTCTCTCTCTCTCTCTCTCTCTCATTCAGGTTCCGGTTGCTTTATTGCGATGACATGTTGTACAGTATTGCCAAAGCATTTTAGATAAAACATGTAATATGTTGACATTTTTAAATTAAAAATTATACAGCAAATGAGAAATAAATGACGAAATGAAAAAAAAGGAATAAAAGCAGACAATATCTCTAAAATTATAATAATTACAATATTGATATGTATAGATTATTTAATTAAGGCAAATGAGTTGTAGACTTAAGACTAAACCTCTTGATTTTGGCATTTTCAGATTTAAATGCGGCGATTGGAGGATTATTAAACAAATGCAAATCAGCATCATTTATAACTGATGTTGCGTGGGTGTTGAGATCCTGATCTTTTAATGATTATTGGTGCAGCTTACACTGAATGCATTAATGCAGGATAAACAAGACAGAAAACAGAGAGAAACCCAGCACATCCTCAATAACCCAGCACAACTTCTTCCATCATCATTATATCTTACAGTAAAAGCCTGAATGCTTTCATACGTGTGATCTGAATTACGTGAGAGACTCATCACGGATCAAGCGTGATGGAATACACCCCTAATGCTCCATTCACACGCAACGCTTCCCATTCACTTTAAATGGGTGACGTCAGGCGTTGCCGAACTGCATTGTGGATCTGTCAGCGCCGCTTCAGTGGTGTTGCTCGCTGAAGAAGTTGGGACCTGCTCAACTTTTCAAGCGCCGACGGAAGCGTCAACCAATCAGATCACTGTATGCAAATACACCAGCTAGACAGTGGCCTATTTCTGACTGAATTTCATTGGCTGACGCTGCTATGACGATTGTTTCAGCCCCAACTTCAGACACGCCTTCAGTCAAGCATTGACGCTGAAGCCCCGTGTGAATGTGGTGTAATAGCTACTGTCTAACCCAAAAGATGATCAATCTGCAGAAAGACATTCTCTGTGTGTGTGTGTGTGTGTGTGTTTTAGGACCAGCACAAGCTGCTGTCTCAGTACCAGAGTCTGGTGGTCAAGCAGCTGGTGGTGCAGGGTCACGGAGCGGAGAAGAAGACTGTCCCGCCGGAGGGAGCTGACGGTCCTGCAGACTCGGATGACACCGAGAGCCTTCAGAGAGAGCTGCACAGTCTCAGCAGAGACATTAAAGACACCGTCCTCGCTCAGAGAAAGCCATCAGTCACTGAGTAACATGGTCTCGTTCTAAAGGTGTGAATAAACTGACTGAATAATGATCATTCATTGGTTCCACTCAATCCCTTCATGTTGTCCCAACTCAAATCCAATGGTTTTCACAAATTTAAGTGGGTTGATTCATGAGTAGTTTGAACACGCAGCAAAAGACACTAGCTGCGTTTCCACACATATTCCTATGCACATTTTGGAGATGTGCATCAAAACCGGTTGACGGAAGCTCCAAGATGTGCATGCATTTAGAAAATGTGCATAACTGAGTGGGATAAACTTTTTATTCGATAAGATGAACATAAGCTACGATGCAAACACTTTTACCAAACTAATTCCAGTGTGTGCATTAAAGGCTGAGCACACTGTTACACTTCTGAAAAGTTGAGTTGGTCATTCTAAAACCCATTAACCATTTCAGTATTAGGGTTATTATATTATTAATGACCTCCAGAGCTGTCAAGAGCGTCTGCTCCGCGTCTCACGCCTTCAAACGCCACCACATGTTCACTGGACTTGTTGGATGGAAGCGCTGCTTCATATGCACGTCTTTCATGCAATATTCCTGTTATGCGCATGAAATTAGCATCTATGGATGGAAACAGCTAGTGTTTCCTCTGCAAGACGCGACTGATGAAAGAGATGTCTGTTATTAATTATTCTTGTATTAAATATCAGGAGAGTGGGCGAGAAATTAAAGTATTTAAGAAGTAAATCTGTGCCGATGTGTATGCGAGTTTGGTTTCAAACAAGTGTTAATTCTGCCGTTATTTACTTTCAAAATTCTGTGCAAAAAATTGTAAACTTGTGTGAACTGGTTTCATGTCCTGAATTGGATCACTCTGCAGCCCAAGAGCGCTTACTGAAGCTGAGCCTGGTCAGTACCTAAATGAGAGACCACATGGGAAAACTAGGTTGCTGTTGGCAGTGGTGTTAGTGAGGCCAGCAGGGGGCAGAGTGGGCTGAAAATCCTCCACATCACTTTAAGTGCCGTTGCCTGCTTCCGAAACCGCCTACTACTCAGTGGGTACTCTATTTGAATTTAAACGTACGACTCGGCCGTTAGTAAAGTGCGTTCTATACAGTGTGAATGTGAAAAGTATGACTGGAATTTGGATGTACTACATCCGCCATTTTGTCATGGTCACGTGACCTACCTAGTTGCGTAGCTTCACTTCCATTCATGAATTCGCTCGGGGGCATCATGGGATAGCGCAGCATGCATGGGATGCGCACTCCAGAATCTCACTGGAAGTAGTAAGTTATCCGGGAACTTCTCGCATACTGATTTTTGCATTCTATGGCTGCGTCCGAAACCGCATACTTCCATACTATACAGTGTGCTAAAATCAGTATGTGAGCCGAGTAGTATATCTGAATTCCTAGAATTCAAAAATCAATATGCGAAGATTTTTAATTCATGAATGGGCGTGAAGCGACGCAACTGATGCAGGTAGGTCATGTGACCATGACAAACTGGCGGATGTAGTACGTCCGAATTCCGTTCATACTTTTCACATTCATACTGTATAGAACGCACTTTACTAACAGCCGAGTCGTACGTTTAAATTCAAATGCAGCACCTACAGAGTAGTAGGCGGTTTCTGACGCAGCCAATGAATTCGGACATACTACTCGGCTCGCGTACTGATTTTAGCGTACTATGTAGTATTGAAGTATGCGATTTCGGACGCAGCCACCGTAAGTTATGGAAATCGCTTGATTGCAGTTGCTGCTGCTAAGGGTGGCCCAAACAGTTATTAGATTTAGGGGACAACACTTTTTTTTTTCAGCCAAAACTATGTAGTTTTCTGTTTTCCCTTAATAATAAAGACCTTAATTTTTAAAACTGCATGATGCGGTTACTCGTGTTCTCGTTGACCAATATTCAAATTAGTTTGATGATTACCGTAAAACATTTCAGTGCAACAGACATACAAAAATAAGGGGGGGGGGGGGGGGGGTGAAGACTTTTTCACACAATTGTATGTGTGTGTGTGTGTGTGTGTGTGTGTGTGTGTGTGTGTATATATATACACACACACACATACACACATACATAAAGGTTTGAACGCTCTGTCTCTTTATCTTCTCCACTGCTCACCCTGAGATAGACAAGTGCTGATGATGTCTGCACAGGAGGACTCATGATTTCGGACTCTATAAATACAACAACAAACAGCGAGCCACATAATTATGATTTCACACCCGCCCACATCCCTGTAACCTGATTCAAATCTGCTGTCCACTAAATGGATATCTCCCACAGAAGAGATTAACACGCCACTAATGTAATGGTGCTCAATTATGAAAATACACTGAAAGCACATCCAGTACTGCTGACTTGTGGTTCCGACACATTAGCAGTTTCTGTGCATTAATGTGTCCTTCACGATCACTGCTCCGGCCTCTTTATTTCATCACTGCTTGTCTTTGTTTGTTTGTTTTATATGTGGAAGTGTGAGACTTCACTGCACTCATGATCATGATTTAAAGTGTAGTCATGAAGCAGAATCTCAGAACCTGTTATAAGTAATTCATAACTAATGACATCTCTACACCTGTCAAGATGTCTGAAAAGTAACTCAGTTACTCAACTAGTATTTCAATAACTGGATTTAATACTAAAATGCCACATAAAATCTCAACACAACACACAGACAATCGAGTTTAAACCTGATTTTTTACCTTTGAGTCATTTTTTTGGGATCTTTGAGTTTGGATTTAAAAGAAATGAATGCTAAAATGTTAAAACAATTTACACTCACCGGCCACTTTATTAGGTACACCTGTCCAACTGCTCATTAACACAAATTTCTAATCAGCCAATCACATCCCAGCATAGGCTGGTTTTACCTGGTTGACCAGCCTGGGTTTAGAGGGGTTTTGGCCATTTCCAGGCAGGTTTCTAGCCACTTCCAGCCTGGTCTTAGCTGGTCAGGCTGGGAGATGACCAGCTAAAGCCAGCTTAACCAGGCTGGGAGCCCAGCTTAAACCAGGTTGGTCAACCAGCAAACCAGCATAGGCTGGTTTAAGCTGGATTTTTCAGCAGGGATGGCAGCAACTCAATGTATTTGGGCATGTAGACGGTCTGATGATTCAGATGTCGCCTGCTCTGATGAGTCCATTTCTGCTGCCACATTCGGATGGGTGGGGAAATTCACACCTATAATCACTGGGTTTGGGTTGTATTTTAACATCAGTCAGATTAAAAAAAGAGACTTGTTGTCATTACATCATCCTGACTGTGGACACACACAGTTCAGTCCAAACAGCTGACAGAAGATGATGTTCATCATAGGAGCACTTTAATGTCTGTTTTGTGCTGAAGAGATGTTTGAATAAGTGATGATGAACCAAAGTCAGATTCTTTATTTAAAAACTGTGAACAGGGTTTAAGATCCATCCAAACAAGCAGCTGTCCACTTTCAGGGTGGAGAATCGGTTATTTAAAGTGTTTTCCTGCACGCGCAACACTATATTTATTTATCTGAGTTCTCCGTGTCTTTCTGTTTGCAGTGAGTGTTCAGGGACAGGTATCTTTTGCTTCTCATCGCCATGGAAACAGCAGGAGACGATGACTAAATTCATTTTTTGACTCGAACAATACCAACACAAGTGTGAGAGCAGCGACTCATGCCTCGAGAAGAAACACCTGAAGAGCTTTCCAAAGTGAACATACACAAAACACACCGAAACATAACCCCTAACGTTTCTAAAAAGGCTAAGCGCATCAGAGCTGAAGCACATGCATCAACACCGCAGACACGATCAACGATATCAAAACAAGCATTACAAACGTTACTATTGAGTTATTTATTATCCTTACGCTTTTGAACAATGTTGCCCTTGTGTTGTTGGGGAACGTTTGAAAAACATAAGCATTACTTTTGAGTTGTTGATGGAACATTCTAAAAACATTAGGATAAAAACATTATTCCTCTGTCGTCCCTGCTGAAAAACCCAGCTTAAACCAGCCTAGACTGGTTGGCTGGTTTTAGAGGGGTTTTGGCCATTTCCAGGCTGGTTTCCAGCCATTTCCAGCCTGGTCTTAGCTGGTTAGGCTGGGAGATGACAAGCTAAAACCAGCTTGACCAGCCTAGCCAGGCTGGGAGCCCAGCCAAAACCAGCTATGTCCAGCTTAAACCAGGCTGGTCAAGCTGGTTTTAGCTGGATTTAGCTGGTCATTTTCCAGCCTGACCAGCTAAGGCCAGGCTGGAAATGGCTGGAAACCAGCCTGGAAATGGCCAAAACCCCTCCAAAACCAGCCTGGTCGACCAGCTAAAACCAGCCAACCAGCCTAGGCTGGTTTAAGATGGATTTTTTAGCAGGGGTTGGCGGAACGTTTGAAAAACGTTGACATTAGAAATGTTACCATTGAAGTGTTAATGGCACGCTCTAAAAATGTTATCCTTGTGTTTTTAGGGGAACGTTTTAAAAACGTTAGTATTAGAAGCGTTACCATTAACTTTACTACACTGTTGGACATTTCCGTAAGTTGCAGACGTAATTTCCGTAATACAGCGGGTTCTTTTTACAGTAAATAACTGTATTTACTTTTGCATTAAGGAAATTTTCCGTGATGTCAACACATACAGCGATTCACTGGGTGTTCTCCCCGTGTTGGTGTGGGTTTCCTCCGGGTGCTCCGGTTTCCCCCACAGTCCAAACACATGCGCTATAGGGGAACTGATCAACTACACTGGCCCTAGTGTGTGTGTGTGTGTGTGTGAATGCAAGAGTGTGTGGGGGTTTCCCAGTGTTGGGTTGCAGTTGGAAGGGCATCCGCTGTTTAAAACATATGGTGGATAAGTTGGCGGTTCATTCCCCCGTGGCGTCCCCTGATTAATAAAGGAACTAAGCCAAAATGAAAATGAATGAAAGAATAAGACGTGATTAATGTCAGATGTCAATGTGACGTCGTTTTAACATCAAAGTGGTTTATATGCATTGTAGAAATACAAAATCCAGTGTAGCCTGTATTAGTCGTTTGTAATTGAAGTGTTCAGACGGACACAACTTTTCCTATGCTGGATTATACTTTGTGTTG